TTTTAAAGTAGACCTAGCGGTGGTTTATAAGTAGCTGGTGGTTTTAAAGTAGACCTAGCTGGTGGTTTATAAGTAGCTGGTGGTTTATAAGTTGCTGGCGGTTTACGAGTAGCTGATGGTTTAAGATTGGCTGGTGGTTTAAGAGTAGCTGGCGGTTTAAGATTGGCTTGTGGTTTAAGATTGGCTGGTGGTTTAAGAGTAGCTGGCGGTTTAAGAGTAGCTAGTGGTTTAAGATTGGCTGGTGGTTTAAGAGTAGCTGGCGGTTTAAGAGTAGCTAGTGGTTTAAGATTGGCTGGTGGTTTAAGAGTAGCTGGCGGTTTAAGAGTAGCTAGTGGTTTAAGATTGGCTGGTGGTTTAAGAGTAGCTGGCGGTTTAAGAATAGCTGGCGGTTTAAGAGTACCTGATGGATTAAGAGTACCTGATGGATTAAGAGTACCTGGTGATTTAAGAGTAGCTGGTGGATTGAGTGTAGCTGGTGGTTTAGGTGTAGCTGGTGGTTTAAGAGTAGCTTGTTGTTTAGGAGTAAGATGGAATTTCAGGCTATTCATGGCGAAAGACAGCATAGGTGGAAAGGCTTGCGGTAGCACCATGCAAAGGAATATATCTCTTATGAGTATGGGCGGTTCTGAAAAGAACCGGGAGTATACTCGTTTCAGACTGCGTGCTCAGTCCGTCGTCAGGGGACACTCAGGTTTAGGAGTAGCTGGTGGTTTAAGAGTGGGTGGCGGTTTAAGAGTAGCTGGCGTTTAAGAGTTGCTGGTGGTTGAAAAGTAGCTAGTGGTCGAGTATGGAGATATCTCGCTATAACTTTCCAAAAATAATGCAAACCTTGTTTCAAAGACTCGATTTACACTCGAGAAGTTCTCCCCTGGCACAATATTGGAAAATATGGGCCTTGGATATGACACTGCAAGCTCAATCGGGGACTTGGGGTCCACTTTTCCTCTCGAACACCAAACAAAAAATTAAAAATGAAATAGAAATAACAAATTAGTATAGAAAAAAATTAAAAGATGACATCCTACTTCGTAACTAGAGGTAAGTGCATCAGTAATGCATTACTTAATGCGTTTTTTATATGTCTGCCTTTTCCCCAAATCAGACATAAAAATATTTGAAGGGCCTGAACCCCGTATGGAAAAATTTCTCGATCAGCCCCTGCACTGACAAAGTCACCTAGTAATTTTAGTGTGATATTTTCAGTTCTATTTTTGTAACACTGATGTTTTTAAAGACTGCATAAAACCTACATGGTGATAACATTCAATCTTTCCCAGGCCTGCTGTCCCCAGTACTGTTGTTAGGGAGAGTATCCCATAACCTTGTGCATAACCTACAAGTTTAAGGATGCTACAAACTTGGTGGCTTTCGCGTTTCTGGATTTCATCTGTCTGCTTGGGTACGAATGATTCCTGATCGTAGAACATGTAGTCTAATGTAACGACCGCCAGTGACTGAACTTTGATAAGACACGTTAAAAAAACAGCCAACTAAACAAGGAAATTGAAGGGCGTCCCTTGCCACTTTTGCTAGTATTGGCAACATCTATGCAGGTGAAGACTGTAATTTTTCACTGGTATCTTCCCACAATCAAACAGAGCTGGTTTAGCTTGCGTGAGCTGTATTATCATAGTGTCCTTACTGGCCCACGCCGAGTGTTGACACTCCGGCAATGATTAACCCGTGGTAATTGTCCGTGTTCGGCTGGCCTGCCCTTCCCCGCTGAACGCGGGGGCAGACCGGCTGTCGGCGCTCGCATCGTTCGCCACGCAACCCGCGCTGGCTCCTCAGGGCTCTCCTCTATTTTTTTCCGCAGATTCACGACCACGTAACAGGACAAACCCGATCAAGGATTTTTGGGACGTTTTTTGGCGGAAGAAGAGCGCGCCTTAAGTCCCCTTTTCGGGTGAGTACGTTTGACACTGATTTACTTTACTGTGACCTGTGTTGGCAAACGGTTATTAAGGATGTCCGGATTTCATGAAACATTGAATCTTGTAAGAAAATTCGTTGCTGGTAACATCTGCACCGCATTTCACACTTAGTAGTCCAGCAGCTTCGGGATATAGACCAAAATCTCAGACATATCAACGAAATTAACCAAAATGCTTTGCAAACCAGTTATTTATGCTTTTTCTTCTGTCTTTCTTTATCATTCACAACCCATGTTGCCAATGGCGTGGAGGGTTTAGAGTCAATTAAAAAGGATACTAGAGGTGATAGTGCGCAGACTGCAGAAAAAAATGTTCGCAAACACTGTAGACGTGATGCATACACTTAGATAGACGTATTTAATTATGCAAGTTTGAGCTGACAGCAACAGAAAAACAACCACGCGTAGCGAAAAGACTTCATGACCTTCTCTTGGGCATATATAGCTTTATGAGTTGCTTGGAAACAGAAATGTATATGAACAGAGATTCATGGAGGAAGTTCGTGTTTCACGATAACATTGTGAGTTATCAGTTGTAAGTTAAAATTATGTTTTTGTGAGGCAGGTCTAGAACAAGTTAAACCAAAATTCCAGACATTCACTTTGGTAACTAATCGGACTGGCATAAAAGAAGATTTTAAGACTAAGTTGTAAATAATGCACAAAGTATGTACATGTACGTGAACTAAGTTTAAAATTTGAACAGGAAGTTGGGGTTAGAAACACACTTTATTGGTGATTTGAGCAACATATCGCAATCGTAACAAAGCTACAAAAATGAGACCACGTGGATATCCATGGCAGCCATGCCGTGCCCGTGGGGTCCAATGTGTGTTCCCCCATGTCAACACCGATCTTTGTTAGAAATCACACGCTGTGGTTGGAGTGTGGTGCGCGGGGTGCACGCCAGGGGCTTTGTTCGAGGCGATGCAGGCGTATCAATGCCATCGGATGTGTGTTTAGGGTTATCAAACTCCAAGCAAACACTCCTCAAAGGACAACCCCGACTATCATAACTCACAAGCATGGACAAAATGGCGAAGACATTCACATCGCTGAAAATGTTTTGACATTTGCAATGTTTCGAAGAATGGGATGAAATCCAGTCTGAAGAGTTACCGGCTTTTGTGTTTATTTTCAAAGTGCTAAAGATATCGAGAGTTAATGTAATACTTCTGTTTTACGTTTGGGAACAAGTGAATAATGATGCAATGACCACAAAGATCGGTGACAATATAAGCGTAATGTGCCTTTGTGTGGGGGGACAAAATCGACAGTCATAGGTTGAAAGCCTTGTTTTGTCTCGCCGAGGATGGCAGGGCGTGGACTGTACTACGCAACACGCCGCTCGACGATATTAAATCATTAACTTTGGTCAGTTAAACCATCAACGATTATCACCCCACGCGCGCATGTGTACAACTGATGCAAAGGTGATAAGTTACGACAGACATTTACATAGCAACAAAGAAGCACGTCAGCGGTGACGTCATCTGGCGTTTCTGGGCGGATTTCGTCGTCTGTGTGTGATTAAACTAGGCAGAAAATTATACTTGGACCGCCTGAAAGCCTGAAAAAATTAAAACCAATCTTCTGGTCAGGTGTTTTTTCGTGGAAATTTCTGACATCAACTGAGATTATAATCATATTTTACTTGCCACCACATAATTCAAACGTAACGCCCCGTACAATCCCATTTTGTGCACTCAACGAAATAAAACGATGGGATGAGAAGATGCCATTTATGAAGGCTGAAAATTCATGTGTGTAAATATACCCGTTGGTATTCCCAACCATGACTGGTCTGTAACCGTCGAAACATTACAGTTTCTTGCGTGACTTCTCCGTATGAATATATTCACCGACAGCATCAGTTGATTTTTTTTTGTGAAGCTGGTTAGAAATTACTCAATCTAACGTAATAAAAAGTGGCCTTTCGAATGTGCAGTTATTTACTCGACGCAAACATTATTCAGACCAAACACTCATTGTTGTCATGACCACGAGGAGGCACTCAAGACAGTTATATAGGATTTTTCCTTCAACCCCTGAATATGGGAAATCACACGAACTAGACTGACACCGATGTATTAATCCAACAAAATTCTACGTGATTTACATATAACTACCACAGAGGTTATAGGGCTTCGGGAGCGGGAGCATGGTGCCCTACCCACTCCTTCCCTGTTAATGTAACAAAATGCTTCCAGGGATACGACCAGCGTTTTTTACTCCTACTCCGCGTGAAACTCTAGGAGAATCTGCTCGAATTAATTTTCCTGTTATGCATCCGCGAAATGTTACTCGGCCCCTATCACTCCGCGTGTCAGAGCAGTACGTAGGGGCAAGGTATTCACGTTTTGTGTCAACATTATTGAAGTCTATGCCCATTGTTGTATATGATATTGGTAAGCCGGCCCAAGTTTCGCTCAACATCTGCCTCGTCAAGCAACGATTCGCATAAAATGTGATACTTGTAATTACAATTCACACTTTGTCGCGTTGAAGTTAAATTCAGCGCCGTCGGTGACCACTGGCTGAAACAGGATTTCTTGGTGGCTTTCTGTGTTGTACGGACATTTTGACGGTGTTTGTTCACGATGCATTTCGATTCACCGAGGACGATGCAGCACTCGGCTTTTAAATTTATGAAAGTCAACAAGACGTAGCGCACTTGTTTGCAAACTCAGTGCCTTTATGCAGGTAGTTGCTGGCCCTGAACGCCTAATGAATCATGAAGTTCAAGTTTGCCGAGTGCCCCATCGAAGATAGAAGAGTGTCACCTACGAGATCAGTTATGATCCGTAGATCACACGCATCTTATGCGGAGGAATGGTTTATTTCGGCTTAATGTTATTCTCCTGCTGGCGCGAACTACAACCCCCTTCGACCTCTTCGAGTCGTCTTATTTCTTACAATGAATCTGAATCTGTGTGGCTTTTCTCTGCGAAAGAGGTCTCGATGATGCATGAAACCAAGTGTAGCATACGGTGTTTTGGTAACTTATATAAAGTAACTTATTTTCTAGCGGTTCAATGAGGAGTGGATGGAGGCAGTAAACTGCGGTCTCCACACTGAAAAATTACCTGGGAAAAAATTTAACCCAAGGGTGAAAACTGCAACTACCAAATAGGCCTATGGGTTGTGTTACCCCAGTCTTGGGATGAGAATTACTTTCTCTGTCATTTTTCACCCACTAACTGAGTAGATATTAACCACTATTTGATTAAAACAAACCAGAAATTAATTTCAGTCACCCAAATTGGGTTGAAACAACCTAAACTATTGTGTAGTTGCAGTTTTCACCCTCCCTTGGGTTAAAATTTAACCCACGCAATTTTTGGTGCATCAGCTGTGGCAAAGATTTTCGGATGTTGCCAATGATGCATTACTTTCTCGTTTTTCTTCTCCAGACTGTCGAGAGCGCCCTCGTGTGACGTCTCGGGGGGTCCTGCCGGTTGCGTCGCCGACGGTTTGCCGCATTCAAACAGAAAACCTATCAGCGGCTGAGTTCGAACCATGCAGTCAGTAATTCCCTGCGGAGATTCCGCAGAAGCACAGCGGTACGAAGCAAGGAGACATGTCCTGAATTATCCTTTTCTCAGTTCGCTGCATCGCCCAATGCAACGCCTTCCCATACACAAGAAATGTTTTAGATCACGTGACGCCATAGGCATTTCATTATTATTATGCAGTAATTTATGTCATCAATCCCCTACTGTCAGGTAATTTTACAGTCTGGTGATGCACTTGCATCCTCTGATCTTCTAAACACTGTTTCAAGGGGCAGATCTGTTGGAAAGAAATGCTGTGGACGTGCTTTGCCAGAAATGACGTGCACTCAACAAAATTCAGAACAGTTTTTGTTTTCAAAAATAAAGAAATTTATTAACGTAGGTACAAAATTTACTAAAGAGGCGGGGGTTTCAATTACTGATATCCCATCCCTAACAGCACCCGATCGGGCGACAAGGTTACCAACTCGATCCAAACTGAATTACTTCCATCGAGTCCAACCCAGTTCCTCACGGTTTTTCAAACAATCTTCCATCTCCGCTCCTTAGATGCCTACCAGCAAATGAAACGACATGTAGATGGCTGGTGCAGTCCGCTGTACTTCAACCCGGCTACCGTATTACTTCAGTCCAGTCCAGTCCGCTTCACTTCCACAATCCTCTTCCGTCCGGCTCCAACTACCCCACTGAAGCTGTGGACCGGTTTTATCCATCTTTTACCCCGTATTAACACTGCGGCTGATGAGGGCTGTTAAACCAACCATCAGCCTCGCTGTCAATACGAGGTAAGGGCTGACATACAGCGACTGAGGGAACAACCCACCAATGACAGACGACAATGGGGGGCGGGGCTATCACCGTCTACCAATCACGGTGGCTGCAATGAGGATACACGACTCGCGCATGGAAAGGGTTCACTACAGAACTATCAAATGATCGAATGAAAATTAGCGTGTTCACTCAACAAATACTGAGGAACACATAAACCTAAAGAATGTGTTACCAGAGGAGTTTTGGTGTTGAAAATGTTACATTTACACAACTCTCGGTGTCAACGAATATTGATCATGATGTGTTACCAGAGGAGTTTTGGTGTTGAACATGTTACATTTACACAACTCTCGGTGTCAACTAATATTGATCATGATGTGTTACCACAGGAGTTTTGGTATTTAACATGTTACATTTACACAACTCTCGGTGTCAACTACTATTCATCAGTGCAACACTAAATTCTAGTTTTTGGAGCGGTCAAACAGTTGTGTTCGTTACACCTTAAGAGCTGAATACAGCAATTCAAGTTGGGGATGATGTAAAGACAAAGCAAAACTAGTTCTAGTTAGACAGATGGACTTCAATGTAAAGATACATATAGGTGGATCACTCACGCCTTCAGTGTACTTTCTCTCTGTGCTGTGTCTTTTTAACATTTACATGTATGTGTCGAAATAAAGGCAACACGACACGGAAGTTGCTTGGAAGTGGTTCGATACACGGATTGTAACAGTACATGTAGTTCTTGTATCGTGCATTAATTTGTTGTAGACGGTGTTGAACGAGGCAAGTTACCGACGTTTCTCGGGGGGGGGGAATATAGAGTACACCCGTGTTTTTCTGTAAATTAAAAGAAATCGTTTATCACTTACAATTAGCATCCCGATGTCCAAACGCCACTCAGAACAAATGTGTTTGGTCAGTACTTCAAATCGTGCCAAATAAGCTGAAGCGCAAACGGATATTATGAATTCGTTTTAAGTGTGGGATGGTTACTTTCACAGTATCCTCCGCGATATTCCATTTTATACAGACCAAAACCTTCAGCATGACTGCGTCACATTCGACTCCCAATCAACATCAACGGGTGCATGTTTTAACAGCTCTTGCCCCCGATTTACACATGTAATTGGTCGAGTTCGAGCGGCCTGTTCTTGACACGGGTTCCTTGTTCTCGCGCTCGAATGGCGGGAACACGACTCAGGAACACTGTCCTCGGAACAGGATCACACACCAGCTCCTCGTCGGGGTTTTACAGGAACGCACTGAAAAACTCGTGAGATTTGATTTGTGAACAGCTGCAAAAACTAGCGAGCTGGCTTACAAAGCCGGAGACAACGGAAAGTTTTGCAAAAATAACATTAATGATTTTCCACAACACAGAAACGAGTGTTTCTTTATAAATGGAAAAGAATTTAGCCCAGTTATCCAGACATTAATTCTCGAAGCACGTACATGGACTCCGCCATGTTGCTTGCTACTAATTACGATCGATAACCGGTTGTACGTTCCCAGCGTTCGAGCGGCCGACCCACGAACAGCAAATCGCGCTGTTCGTGAACATACGAGAACAAGCCGCCCGAACTCTGTCAATGTTAAGTTGAACAATGCGACACGATGCTACTAAAGTTGACGGAGATCAATAACCAAACCTCAACACAACAATCCTTTATTTACAGGGTATTTTACACACCCTTAACAATAACCATAACAAGAGTCACATAATTCCACCCCTACCCAGCCATGCCTTTGACAGTTGATAGGGGCAAAATTGGTTGGAAGATATCATTAAACAACAATGTCATCCGACTGACCAGGGTGAAAAGTGCAGGGTGACCCTGAAATGTGTGTACACGGCGTTAACCACGGAGTTGGTCAAGTGTTTCAGCCTTTAGTCAAATGACTTGTCCGATTTACCAAACTTGATATTAGTTCAAGTCCATCCTTTTAAAAAAGAAAAACATAGACAACCTCTGTATAAGTTTGCTTCTGCTTACAAATTTATAAAGTTCGACTGAATAATCCTGCACAGAATTTATACCAAATTACAAAATGACAAGCGAAGGCAAGTTGGCGGTAAAAAGGAGCACCGGTGTCTGGTGCATGCTTTCCTGTTTCACGGGGCCATTTAGAAAAAAAAAATTGATTTGCATAGGCGAGCCTTTGACTGACCTCCAGATTTGAGTATTGTCAGAGAATATGTTCGAGAACGTTGTTAGAGAATCCAAATCATAGCATACTTCTCATTTCATTTACAACGTACAATTTCACAGCACTATTTGCTCCAATATTGCACGAGTAAAAAAAAATAAGGATCAAATCACGGATAGGGTGAGCGTCAGGTCGGGGGGGGGATACTTTTAGCCCCACCAAAAAATACTTCAGTGAAGTGCTGGACGGCAAAAATTCATTTGTCAGCAACCAACAAATACAACACTGTGGACAACATGGCTAACAGAAAGAAACGACCCTCCCCTTTTTGTGTGCATTCAAACGGCTAAGCAAGCAACACATACATGTATTTATATAAATTTTCTTAAGCTTCAAAATGACAGGTTGACTCCTTTGCTACTTTTTAAAGTAGTGCAAGTTGTAACCAGAACATCAAAAATAGATTATAATTCTTAAACGAATACAATATTTCCGAGTAGCCAACATATACAAAAACGAAACTCTCTCCAAGAATTTTTCGAGCATCTTCTGCCTGCTTTTTATATATTTCACAGGGTCTTTTCAGTTTCCTGAATGCGCGGCAAGTCAAATGGCAAAATTTGCATCCCACAGAAAAAGTAGTTTGCCAAATATGAATCGGTGACATCTTTATGTAACCAAATATTTTGGTCACCAAGTGACCAAATGACTAAGTAATCAACCCTGTGTCAAAATTTGCATTCCTTGACTTTAAGTCCAAAAAGACATCCATGGCAACGCTAATGTATCATGTGTGAATCAGTCAGCTGATCCCAATAAAAAAGGTCCGGATTCAGTTGAGCATGAAGAACTTTTTACAAAACTGACGAGAACTGGAAAAAAAAAAGGCTCTGAAATTTCAGGTTCATTTCCCAAGGAAGTTGGCCCAATTACAATGTAAATCAGGGTTCTTAGTAGAAAGTACGGCTGAGTAACTTTATGTTCTAATAAAGTTACTAATCAACAGGGAGCCAGTCACAACACAATATACAGTGTGTGAAATTTTGGTTGGTAACCGGTTTCTGTCCTTCACGGCTCTAGGATATTGGCTCCTGGCCTTAAGGCGCAGAAAATCAGAGAGGTTCAGCATGTGTATGATTACACATGTACGCATTTCGCTAACCTCTAATCATTACTGGTTATTCCATTTATGAGTATTCGTGCAATCACACGTCCAAAAATCCAAAATGGAATCCTTGAATGAAAGCCTGGAAATGCGGTAAATGTTGCTTTAGAACACACACAAATCAAAAATAGTTCCTTTTTCTTTTAACCCTAACCCCCAAGGGTGTATGTAAAATCGTATGGAAATTGGAGGATTTGGGACTGTTAGGGATAATGATTGATGAAATTAATGAAACTCCACAATTTGTGGGGAGTGAGACATGCTAACATATTTGCCAGCAAAACCTCTCTCCGAAGGCCCATGTGTGCCAAACAGTCTTAGCGACTACCTACTAGTCTATCGGTTTTGGCTCTGTCGACGCATCCTCAACCGAGGGCCGAGGGATGTCCACCGTGACTTCCAGGACAGCCTGGTACCTGGCCCTCCTCCGCAGGAAGTACCAGCACAGCGAGAGCAGGCCGCCTTGCGAGGCCAGCACCACCAGGCCCGAGCCGGTCATGATGCGGCGGAAGCTGGGCAGGTCGTGGAGCCAGCAGGCCCGGCGGGCACCGCACTCCGACTGCCACAGCTTGCAGGTTGTGTCAATCAGCCCGCCGGTGATGATCGGCGTTGGGATCACGCCTTTTATGAGAAAAAAGAACCAGCTGATGTGGTCAAGAGCATCACGATCAAGTCCCTGCAAGTCCACCACAAAGCCAACACAAGTTGCTCAGTCATGAGCCAAGCTGCAAACTATTTCAATGAACTGGGACAAAAGCATTCCTTTCCTGATCTTCGCCCTGTTCCTTGTGACTGAACTTGTGGAGGGGCTTGAGATAGACTCAGCTCCAAAACTAAATTATGAGCAATCATATCTTTGACTTGCTGTGGGTTATGTCCATGAATGGATAAAACACAAACTTTCACTCGATTTACATCACGCGCCTCCAAAGGCTATTTTCTTACGTTTGCTGCCATGCCACTTTTATTGTCAACTTTCCACAAATCTTGTTCCATACATGTACACTCGTTGAAAAACAGCAAATGCGTTGCAACAAATCAAAAATATCCAACACTTATTACACTCAGCACCTAGTCAGTTTCCGCTTGTGGTTGATTTTAAAGTGCACAACACATACATACATGTACCGATAGGTTTAAATGTCAAAAAGCTTAAACTCAAAATAAGCAATAAGCTTGCTTAATAGAGCATGAGCAACATGTTTTTATTGACAAGTTGGTTTCCTCTCTGTGAGCTGTACTTACCGATCACATACTGAAGACACTTGGTGATGCCATAAGCAAATGCCTTATCCCTGGCATCAACACTCCTGGGGAAAAAAAAAAGATTCATTTTGACCTTTCGATTCCTCAGCGTGAAAGTGCTTCTTTACAACTCTGCGATACTTAACCCTAGCTCAGGCAAATATGACATAAACACGACATACACACTATAGTTATTTTAACACCCCTCGATAGAAATCCTGTTCAATTTTCCCCGCTAACTGAAGAAAAATCACGGAAATGAAGCCCATTTCAATAAAGTGATGACGCTGAAATCCATTTCATGGCTCTATGCCTTTATTGCCTCATTAAATTGTTGTGAAAGCCCTCTCTTCTCGGTCATCCACCAACCCTCTGTTGACGGGAAGTTACCGACCATGTTGTCGGAATGGTTCATACCTTACGACAGTTAAAATCAGCGGCGCTCCTGTGGTTGAGAAGATTAAGACAAAGACGATGGTGCAGATGACGAAGGGGACCAGAGTGTTACACTGATAGGCACATGCTCCCTGGACTACGGCCCAGACACTGCTGGCAGAGGTAGCATCATCAGATGACCAAGGACCATCACCCACGTCGTCATCAGGAAGACACGAACAGTTCATAAATTGCTGTAGGCAAATAAATGAAGGATTGCATTAAACCAATACTGACGTCCGAATCTGTGTCTTGCTTCGAACAAGAAAAGAACAGATTTCACAACACAAATTTTAACCACTTGTTGCCAGGTGGAATTTGAAGTTGCATGATGTAAAACCGGGTGATTTTCAAGATTTTGCATTTTCAAAATTTTTCAAACAATTATAGCTTCATTTACTGGACATTTACACCCACACGAATGACTGTCTGGTGGCTACTCTAATCTGACAGACAACATCTATTGACGCCGAAGTATTTCAGCCAGGCCTGCCGCCTTGTAAAAAGAGCCCAGATTGTGCGGTGTTACAAAAGTTTCTTTTGTTCCTGAAACTGGCACAGTGCACTACTGGTGTCTTTTCAATATGGGCTAGATTAGCGTGCAGCGGTATTGTATCGCTCACCAATGGAGCGCTGGAGCGCTTTTGTCCCCGGTGGTAATCCACTTGTGCTGAATGCCACAAACAGTGGTATATTCTCTCAAAATAATGACGGATTTCCTCCACTAGTGACAACTGAAAAAATGTTGGTAATTCCCAGCAACTCGGTCTTTTGTTCCAAGTACAGTCTTTTGTTACCCCCAAGGACCAGCACTTTTGTCCGGTTTTGGGCCTCCTGGTTTCGTGTATAAAGCCTACGTGCCCAGCAGGATATGGTTAACACATTTTAATAGCACATCTTGAAACAAATTTTAAGGTCAACAATTTTAATTTCAAATTGAAAAATGCAGCATGTGGCATAGTTCTTTTAGGATATACAATTTTTGTTATTTTCAATATCGTCAAGGGCAGATCTTGAACCAAATTTTTGGGGCAGGATTTAGGGGAACATTTATAGTGGGGAGACAACTTGATATATATTTTAGTGTAAACTTTATGGTCTTTATGAGAGGTAAGGCCAATTTGTTTTGTTTTTACACATGTTGGGAAGAAAAAGAAAAAGGTAAAAAAAATGTCTTTTTCCTCTCATTTACAGTGACAACTAAACTTGCAGTACTGTACCTCATATTTTTTTGTAGAAAGTGCTCAGGATAGTCCAATCGTCTAACAATAAACTCATGGGAGAGACACGAGGACAGAACAGACTCCAACCTGCAACGGATCATTAGGAGATGAATACTGAAATACGAACCACAGTATCCATTGTGTCAGCCTGCAGGGTACACCCGGCAAAGCATGGAGTAATGTACGTGATGTGCTTGGCCTGTAAGCACACTGCCTGGAACGTGTCATTTCTGCAGTCACAGTCCACGTTGCAAGAGGACTCCAAGTTGAGGATGTCTATTCTGAAAGTTAAACAGGTTGACGTCAAGGGTTGAACTGAATGTATGATGAAAATTGCCTGTGACCAGGATGGTTTTAGTCTAACACTCATCCAATACTCTCGATCAGAATGGCCATTTCCTCGGGCTTTTTCATTTGCAAGGTAAAAAATATCAATATATGTATATTTTTTATCTGTGATTGTTAATGAAGTGTGACTTGAGAGTCACAAGTCGTCATGGCCATTATGATTTGAGTCCCTAGTCCTTGGCTAATGATCAAGTCTGAGTCACCAAAATGGCAAACTCGAGATGGACTCGAGTCCAAGTCCTGGACTACAGTTGCACAACACTAGCAAAACTAGACACAAACAGTGCTCAGAGGACACAACTGTTTGATCTCTTGTTTATCACAGTCAGGTGAGGGGTCCTGTGGATTGTCAACTTCTAGCAAACTGATTCTCCAGAGGGCTTCACCTGTTTCCACTGTAGTCGACATTGATGCCAGCGATGGGCTGGTTCTCACATCCAAAGGCTTGGAGGAGCAGCTGGAACACGGTGGCAATGCAGACGCACGCCAAACACAGCTTGGTCTGGCCGACAATCTCCAGCTTCCAGCGCCGGCAGAGGTAACCGCCCAGGATGCTCCCACAGGCCAGGGCTGGGATGACAACAGCTGCGTTCAAACGCAAAACAGGCAGAGCTGACACTTAAGCCACGGATCCATGTGACTCCAGTGGAGCAAACGAGTCCACCATAACTCACTGAGCTGCAAGCATAGCAACTCATTCAAATTATTTCAACATGAACTGCGTGAAAGTAATTTTTGTACACCTGAAAATAATGTACTTTGGACCAGTCCTTTAAATGATTTGTAATGGACTTGACAACTTTTCACTCTAACAGAATCACTGATGATCAGGTGGTTGTAATCATTTTGAGTCGTTGACAACTTACCGAGTCAAGAGTAAATTACAACAATTTCATTAGCCAAATAACCCAACCTGACTTTAGACATGGTTGCAGTCGAGCCCATCACAAGTCCCCTAGAAGTCATGAGTCATCCAGTCTTAAGTCAAGTAACAAGGTACTTTAACTTTAACAAGAGTTTTCCTTCATCATTGTTCACCCTGTTACTTGTGACTGGTCTTGTGGACTTGCGACGGACCCAACCACGACACTGCTTTAGACTTCATTCCACAGTCGAGCTCCCTTTTTCAGCCAGTATTTTCTTCCTAATCGACAATGGGGCATCATCCGACCAGCGCTTCAATTATGCCCAACTTACCGACAAGAATGTTCACCAGACTAGTTGGCAGGCCAAACTGTGACTCGATGTACTTTGGAAAGAAACTGAGCAGGCCCGTGACCAGTCCAGTGGTCACAAACGCGAACGTTGCCATCCAGTAGGAACCATTAGTGAAAATCCTATGCAAGGAAATTAATAATGCTGAAATGAAAGGAAAAGATAAAATAAAAAGAAAAAAAATTTGATCATATTTAGAAAGTCAGCTCTGTTTGGCTACAACAGCGCACTCAGTCATGTGAACACATGATATTCAGACTACTTCGAAATGGCAATTAGCCTGAATTATACATATGTGACTCCAGATTCCGTCTTCACAGGAAAGCAGAATTTGCAGACAGATTTTCACTTTAATGAAAGTTGTTCCTTTGTGTAACTTTGAGATTAGAAAGTTGTTTGGTAACACACCTTTGATCCCACCGAGGTTAAGAGTGCTGAACATGGGCTCCGTACTCTTGGTCTCGTCAGGCACTGCACCCTCAGCTTCTTCGTCGTCTGCCTCTCTCCACTTCTTTGGAAGCCGCTTTGGGAAGCCAAGAAACGGTATCCCAGACAGCACCAGGATGAACGCCAGGAAGATGAACAACAGCCACCAGGCGGACACCCACGCCTTGTTGGTGTGGGTCAAGGTGGTCTGGGTGCGGTAGAAGTCCACCCAGATCAGGGAGGTGGCCGAACTAGTCAGAAAGCCCAGGACCACTCCCAGGCCGTACATACTGGACACGATTCCTGGAATGTCAGAAACGACAAACTTAGTTACTCTGCCATTCACAGGTACTTGTATCAAACTACAGAAAAACGATCGATGCATCTCAGTACTGTCTTATGAAATTAGATGAATGAAATACAACACAATTCTTAAATAAGGCATTGTGATGGCCACATTTTTCTCAGCAGCCGGTAAAGATATCTCAAGAAGTCCATGACATGTATGATTATTGATTTCAGTAAAGTGGGATACAGTTTGGAACTCTGGGGGCACATAGCACACTCAACTTTGCTTTGAGTGCTATGCGTCCCGGGGACATTTAAAACGTCATATTCTAAATTTTAGGTTACATGTAAATGGCAACTTACCGAGGTAAAATGCGGCCCTGGTTTTCTTTACGTTATCATCGATGTAGGATACACCAAGTGGCCTTGTTGGCGCATAGCCGACCCCCGCCACAAACTGGCTCATCAGAATGATGATGTAGGCTGCTCTGTCTTCCATTGTGGTAATTTCTGAACATTCTGCACCTGAGGAGGGTAATGAATGATTGTCGTGGGGACTGCACAGGCCAAATGATACTGGATGGTCAGGTTCATCAGCTGTGTCTTCAACCTGACGGTGATGGTATTGATAGGGTCCAAATGCAAACTGCGGGATACAGGTGGCTACCATCCCTAAGGCCATCAGAAAGGCACTGGCCGCTATCCAGCGCGGTCGGTGGGTGTTCGGCCGTCCGCCGAGGTACGCCGCTACTGGCAGGCCTAGCATGGTGCCGATTTTGTTGACTGTGACAACCATCCCGATCTGGTAGGCGGAGAGGCCGTACCTGGTCTCCAGGGTGGTCAAGAGGGCCACCTGGATCCCGCTGAAGAAGGCGTCGCAGGTGGTGAAAAAGCAGAGGAAGGTGACAAATGCGACGGGAGTCGCCAGCCTCTGGAGGTGAGGGGGGTGCCAGGAGCCGCAGCCAAATTGTTCACTGTCATCCTCACTCAGGGCAGCATCAGCCCTGCTTCCAGGTTCACCCCGAGTTTCAGCATTGTGTTGATCCGAATTGTTCAAGGCTCCAGACTCCGTCTTTCGTTGCTCGTCCAAAGTTGTCTCAACATCACTGTTGGGAGGGTTGGCCATAACTTTGGGAAGTTGTTCCAGCTTTAAAGATGCCATCACAGATTCAAGTTGAACCACAAAACATAGAAATGTTGTAACATTGGTGCACACATTAATTTACATGTATCTGTTGTATCCTGCACCAGGTTTTCTAGTTTATGGCTGACCACATTTTTGTCATCTGTGGACCGTGGACCTGAGTGTTAAAGAAAATGGGCATGAGACTAGAAGGTGGTCCGACATTAAATTCCTGCACGATCGACAAATAGCAAAGCGCAGTGAGGCGATCGCGCAGAACGATCACATCACACCCAAAATAATTAAACAACACGTGCGCACCGGTGAGCTTTGAATTTACAAACGGTAACAAAACTGCAGATAGACTGCCTAGCTACGCCTCAATGGCTAAGCATGGACAACATGATTGATAGCTAGGGAAGGAGCCAGTCAGCCAGGCCTAGTGTCAGTTTAAACACCCGTAATAGCTACTACATGTAATAATAATTAGTACTATTAACACCGTTGATAGTAGCAACACCGAGCAAGGCTCTAACTCGATGTTTTAAATACGTAAAAACTAAAACAGCAAAGAAAATTCACCCCACTCCGAGAGTCGAATCTGAGGAAAGTGTTTCCCTTTCCGGTCACCGTCGCGTCACGCGTCGCGTGGTCGATAGTGACAAAAGCGCCCTCTCTAGAGTGATTTTTCACGTCGTTGTTATTGGCATGAACATGATGAACGCGCCGGGGTGGTCCGGGTAGCGCAAGCGCTGTGGGCCATTATGTAATTTGCCAAAAATCATAGTGATCTTCAACGTACCTGCTCATGATAAGGCCTAAAAGGCGAATATGAATGTCTTCCTCACATAAATTTATTCGTGAGAAGCATGGTGCGTTTTTGCTCAATACATTTTGTTATAACAGCAGTTTACCGAATATTTTTGTCTCTAGATTGACAGCTACTGCTGTAGCATAATGCTGGTACCATCTGCAAGATAACATTCCATGCTTATATAATCGATATGCGCTGGGATTGATCCCCTAAGAACTCCACAGCAGATTGATTTATAACTTGATATTTTTATTTCGCAAAACAAAAATTCGTTTCTTTTTTTTAACCACAATAATGTCAGATTTGCTCCGATCTTAACTTTTTTCTTTGGAAGTTTATGTGATTAGTATAATTTATTAGTCGGCTCAATCAGAGGTATCTTAGACAAGCTCTTGACCGATTATCAGAATATTGGATAGTATTGCCAGTTATACAAACGAACCAGAAGGAAGCTGAAAAAATGTTGGAAATTTGTCAGTTTTCAGTTTGCTGAGCCACATCCATATATACCGAGGAACGCATCCCCATGTCCACTTTTCAAAGTACATGTACATGTAGGACGTGATGTAGGCCTACATATCCTCTTTTTTCCAGTTTCTTCATTCTCTAAACTGGTTATTTGATAACTTTAAAAACATGAAATTTCATCTGGATGGGAACAAAATTTGCCCCACTCGTGTTTTTGAGGTGTCAACTCCATTTCGAGCATCCCTTCTCTTCTTTTCTTTGGAAATCCTGGGTCCCGCCTCCAATTGGTACTAGTGTTTACACGACGTGTCCTTAAGCCATTTGTTGCGTAGTCTTGGTCCAAGACGTCAGTGATCGATAGTTGTTTTATTTCTGTTGAAGAGCGCCCTCGCACAACTAGTTGAGTGAGAGCTGGCGCACGTCTAATTATGAGTCGTTGGGGGCGCACTATGCACGGTGTTCGCTATCAAGCACTAACGTCTTGAAACCAAGACTATTCGTTGCGTGGCTTTGCCATTGGACACGTGTAAAACGCATCGCGATTATGCGTATCATAACGGGTCGTAAACTTAAAGTGATTTGTGTACCGTAGTGAGTGGCGGATACGGTGGTGGAACAATAACAGGTTGTTTGTCGTTTATAATTAATTGCCTGTTGAGCTCAGTAACTCGGTAATCTCTTGCTGGTTTCCCTTGAATGTGAAGCGTAGATCTTGCCACTCTCCCGAAGTTATCACAGATATTTTGAGCTAGAATTCGCCTGCTGTAAACATGTCAAAGCGTCCGTTGCCGTGGGAGTGGGTGGTCGTCACCTTCGCCGTGCTGGTTAGCGGGCTAGTGGCGCTCGTGTTAGCCGGGGGAGGAATGAAGTTCGAGCCCGACCCAGATGCCGAGGTACGGGGGTAGGCTTTACGGTAGTCCTTACGTGGTTTTCAGCGACTCTTTTCGCTGAGTTTTAATCTGCTCGTGAGCTTTTAACCTGTTGTGTGGAATATTGACATTCTGTTCCTTTAATTCAGACGAGCTAGGCCTTCTTTAGAGATCATTTATTAATTTATATTTCATGACTATTTATGAATATGAGATGCACCCGCTAAAATCAAAAGGGGGTGGGGCCTGTCCGGAAATTGGCCACAAGACTGAGATAAAGGTCCCTGTACTCATCATGTTCATGTCTAAATTGGGAAAAAATGTTGCATCCTGACTTCACTTCAGCAGTTGAGTACAAAGTCTATAGGGAGTGAAGAGAATTTTTTAAGTATTAAGCAACATCAGTAAATGTTTCTCAGTCCAGAATTTGTGTCTTTCCTGCATTTCTGTAAGCCTGACTTTCATTGAGATGATTATGATGAGAAAAGTGGAGTCAGGATGCAACATTTTTTCCCTAAATTGGCCTAATATGTTGTCAACAAAGGAAAGAGAAGAACTCAACTTGACACCCTGTGCACAAACCCTATGGGACTTGTCTGAAAAATTCCATGTGTTTTCTAAGTTTTGCCCTCCTAAATTGACCTTTTCTGGCCACGTTTTTGCTCTCTGACGGCAAATAGGTCACTGTAGAGGCTAATTATGGCATCCTTATATGGAACTCTTCCCATCCAAAATCCCAACGGACCCTTGTCCAACTCAACAAAGTGCCTTTTTTAACATCTTGACATGATCAGGTGTTTGCCTGTCAATTCACGCTGGGAATTGTTTCTTGTTTTTGAAAATTTTCAAAGGTGTATGATTCTGGTTTTGCCTCGTCTGGTAAGATGTCCTTCACTACCCCTGATCTCGATGACGAAGATCACCACTCACTACACATGCCAGACCAACTGCTTTGTGATGCTTGCCAAATAGTAGCACACATGGTAAGCTTCAGAAAATCATTCTGCAACTGAAACGTCAAACTTTTCCTTGACAACTGAAATTTGGGGAGATTCTGCGTAGTTGTTCAAATTGTGCCTCCAATTAACCACTTCCTGCTGGGATGGATTTCTCTTGAGTGGGATGAGATGGCGGGACCTTTTCAAGATTTTTCATTTTCAAAATTCTTCAAACACTCACGTGTTCATTTACTGGATGTTTACACCCACACGAACGAATCTGGTGGCTACTCTAATCTGTCAGGCAACCTTCATTGATGCCCGAGTATTCAACCCAGGCCTGTAAAAGAGAGCCCAGAATTGTGAGATGTTACATAATTTCCTTTGTTCCAGTGAATGCCAGTGGCGTCTTTTCATACGCAGCTGGATTAGCGAGCAGCGGTGCTGTGTCGCTCGTCAATGGGGCCCTGGAGCACTTTAGTCCGCGGTGCTAATCCGCAGGTGCGCTATGCCCAAAACAGTGGTATACTGTTTCAAAACAGAGCCGGATTACCATCGAAAAATGGAAGTCAAAAAATGATGGCAGTTCCCAGCAGCAGGTCCTTTGTTCCGAGTACAGTCTTTTGTTACACAGACCAGCTCTTTTGTCCGAAACCAGGCGCCCGGCTCTGCGTATAAACACACGGTGCCCGAAATTGGGCCCCCCAGCAGCAAGTGGTTAAGCTCATAACATCGTACAGTTTGTGCTCTGTGAAGTAGCATTTGATAATGAAATATTACAGGTAACCGGAGGCTGCGACGCGGGAGGCAAATGTTACATAGTTGCAGTGGCCAAGCTGTGGTTGAAACTGATTGATCGAAAGACATCCCACCATCCCACACGTGCATTTTTCTGCGCGTAATCGTAAACTACTTTGTTGTATCGCAGCTTGAGACAAAGTTTGACAAGATGAACGAGAAGAGGCCCTCCTTGAAGAAGAACTTATATGAATCGGACATCCTGGATGCTGTTGACGAGGTCTGCAGTGACGAGTTCAGCTCGTAAGTGCCTTCTTATTTATTTCATGCAAGGTACTGTCTTTGCAGTAAAAGATTCCTGCTACACAGAACTGATGACATTTTCATTGAAAACAGCCAAGATTGCTTAAGCAAGAATCGGTCAGACTTCTATAAACGGAGGTCACTTATTTTCCCTTGCAGTGGTTTATTAGCTATCAGAAAGTGTTAACGTCCTAAAGTGTCACATTTAGCTGTGGAAATATTGAACCAATTACTTGTTAGACGTGTCAGAATACACCTAGAAATTTTCAGATCAGTCTCAGAAGGTTTGTGCACAGAGCATCAAGCGATGTCCAGATATGGACCTCCTTTCTGATAAACCCACCGCAGCACAGCGCACTAGCGCAGCACAAGCATGCTCTGTGCCATCAGAGAGCACACTTACTGGATCATCGTGGCTATTTAATGATCGAGGGAAGGCCCTGTGATTCTTCTTAATGGACGAAGGGGCTGACCGTTATTTTTTTATTTGCTTTCGACAGAGTTGGAATCAAAGAAATCAAGGGAGTGAAGCGGTTAGCGGGACCAGGCCTGAGCACCAAAGACGTTCCTGGCATCATGCAAGGAGGTGGCAAATGGCCCGGCAGGTCAGTGGCGATACCGACTGAACTAATTCATTCCATTACGTTGTTCCCAATGCAACTAACATGTGTTGCATATGCCACAGTCCTGACTCAGGTCCCAAATGGGGGGCGTGGGTTGGAATCCCACCTCCGACATTTCTGTGGGGATACTTTAGGGATCAGCAAATCTGTGACGTCGAGACTCTCCTTTCGATGAAACCAAACGTGATCAGAATTCATGTTCACGTTCCAGTGCACACGTTCATTGACCTTGTGAAGGGATTGTCTTTAGTAAAACAAAAGAGGGCGCTATTTTTGCAACACCTACAACACCAAGTGTATATTTCAGTGTGTTTTGTTGTCCTTTGTAACCATCTGCTCAGAATGAGGGAAGTGTGCACCCAGTACGCTGGAGACTTGGAGGAGGAAAACATTTACAATGCCTACAAGGAAAAGGAGCTGCAGAAATTCTTGTGTTATGATGAAGGACGCCATTGTGCGAAGGTTGCCAAAAACAAAGATGGCAAGAAGACCAAGAAAGAAAGAAAAGTGGAATTATAATTAAAAGAAAAAGGTGTTAATATTTTGTTGAGGGGATTCCCTTTCTACATGTACCATCATTCATTGCTTAATACTAAGGTAAAGAGTTTAGTTATCTCGTTGGGTAACGAGCCTGCAGTGAAGGCCATGAGTTTACAATGAAGGCCTTTCCACACGAGAACATCAAATCCTAATGCAAATTCACCCTAGGTTAGCCTGGGATAGCCCCCTTGACCAATGTCTCTCAGTTGTTCAGCTTTTCATTGTTCTGCACTTTTTCACACAAAAGCTACGTTAATCTTGCCAAGGGGGTGAATATGTACTGGCACTCAGTGCAAATACATGTATATTGCGCTCACAGCTTTTAGCCCAGAGTGAAAGTCGACACGTGTCACTGCAATGGAACCTGTGCTGCCAACTTCCGTTAAATGTTTAAAACTTTTGTGACTATTGAGGGTTAAGAACGAAAACTTGCTTTCTCAAAATTTCAGATTTCCATTGTGACATGCACTGATTTCAAACACAAAAAACTAACACGTATTCCTTCTTCTTGCGCACTTTGTTCTGTTGGAAACATGTCTCATATCACACAACTTACTGTTTTCCTTTACAAGCTTAAGACCGTTCCAACAAGCTCCAATTTTGGTGTAATTTTTTTGTCGCTGCAACATGTCATTAACAGTTCTATTTTTACTTTGTTTACATTTTAAAATTTGCTTCTCTTCGACCTGAACATTTTTAGAGGATAATGTTTAAATCATTTTTGAGAGCAGATTTCTCAGGCATCCGACGATTTTAACTCGTCAGCTGTATGTGTACAGGGAATGATTAGTGCTAGGTTGTGCATTGTGGAGCTTTTTTTCAAATGCGGATAAGTTTACCGTATTGAGAACTTAGTGCCTAGAAATTTTCAATTTTGCAACGTAAAGGAATGTGTAAGGCTCTCTCCAAAGAATGTTGTCATCTTGTTGCCTCACTGAATAATATTTGGAGGTTTCATACTGTGAATTAATTTCATGGTTGTAGCTTGACAAAAACAACTTGCAATTGAAATCTACCTGAATACCTTCTTTCATTAGCACTGTATAATATACCCTATCAGTAAATTTCAACTGTGCCAAGTGTTAGTGATAGCATATCTCCAAGAGATTCCTTTTGTATTTACCAAGTCCATCACTATAAATAGAATTGTTTGGCAGTGCCTTGATAGAGATTTGTGATTTTTCCTCGTAGTTACTGTTCAATCTGACTAAAAGTAGAGTACTCAGAAATATGTTACAGCTTGTAAATTTTTCACTTGATTTTTCTAAGTATGAGTCTGTGGAAACCATCAATAACAAAAGATAAAGGATGACATTATTTGCACAGATTTAGAAATTACCTTTGTAAGGAGACACTGTGTGAGACGTGGTTGTGATCAAGTACTGTATATGTGGTGTTTTTCTTATTTATTAATTAAAAAGAGATACTTATATTGCAAAAGAAATCTCTGTTTTTGCAATGGATTTGATTTAATGAAAATGTCATAAACTGAAGAACAACTTACAAGTAAATACTCTCGCAAGTTGGTGTCGATCTCTGAAATTCCGAACAGTAGTTACTTTGCATTGCTATTTCTTTTCCTTTGTCCACCATGAGCACATTTGCCAGGATTTCTTATCCTGACACTCCTTAATTCACCTGTGGGTGATGCCAGAAATTAGGGGTGCATTTTTTTTATGTCCCTGTCACATCTGACATGGGATTTTGTACATGTAAGTCCAGAGCACACTTTTCTCATTTCCAAGAGTGATGAATTCATGCAAATTACCTGCCAAACAAATAGTAATAGTTTGAAATTACTTCTGGTGATATTTCCATGTCAAAGAACAAAGGTCAGATGTAACAGGGACACAAAAATGTCGCATTTTCGGACCCCCAATTTCTGGAATTACCCCTATTTCAATAAAATAGCACAATGCTACCGGCAGGGGATTCAACTTTAAGATGCTGCTTGTCTCTTGTAGCTGCTGTACTCTAAGCCTCGGCACCATGTTCCATTTCCAACTTGTCACATTCTCGTTTGCTGTGGAAATTAAAGAATAGACAATATAAAGCTGGATGATGTTATGGGCAGAAAGGAAAATACCGAATACAGTCTGCAGTCTGAAGACTTACCGTCCTGTTCACAGCCAGGTTAATAAAAAGAAAAACTATATTTAAATGAACCAGATAAAAATGCAGACAAAATCTTTTTTAAAAAGTTGTTTAAACAGTGCCTCGTTAACAGAATAGGGTGTGTTACTTAAGGTAATGAGACAAGCATAAGTGTTGACTGGAAGCAAAATACAATTACGAAGAACAGAGTGCATTTCCACACAAGTTGATTACCACAAACTCATTCATGGTTACACGTATTTGGCTTGTTTTTCTTCTGAAAGTTCAGACAGAACTTGCATTTATTATTTTAAGATACACAAATATCCCAGTGGATCTTTTGTACTTTAAAAAGCCAAACATTTTTCACATGTTTCCAAATAGCTTGTAATATTTACAAGGCACAGTGATTGTTACATGGAATTAATGGCATGATATTAAAATGAGGTAACTATCTTTCTTGGTGAATATAGAGACAGCCAGTTGATATAAAGAAACAATTTCGGTGTCAAGAGGTAGGTGGCATTCATATCATGTCTTTATTTATAGAGGTATTTCTTTGGGCTTATTAAGAAAAACAAAATTTGAATAGCTCCCAACATAAAAAAAACAAACAGCAGGTGTAACTTGGAATTAATGGCAAATGCTAAAGAAACTATGACACTGGTCAATATGGGCTAATATACCAATGATGCAATACACACTAGAATATAGTGGCTTTGCATATTTTGTACAGACGTCCCAGAAATATGTACTCTTATGGGCTTCGGTGAGTGTTGAACTAAAGACGTTAATCTGTACTGTGAAAATAAATCTCCATATGATTTCATTTTTACAATTATTGCTACATCCATTTGTGCATGAATCTTTAAGATCTGAATTGGAGTTTTCAAAAGACTCCCAGTGAAAAGAATGGATTGAATCTGCTTTACTTTTCTGAATAATACTCATACACTGCTCATATCCTGACCCCCCAGGGGCCAGGATAATTTTCCTGAATATAATTGGAGATAATTAAGTTTTGCATGCAAACTCAATTGTCTCCAAGGCATATATAATGTTTTTGTACATGAACCACATAACCACTGATCATGGATTTCAATGCGCATCATATCAACCACATCTCAAGAACAATGTTACCCTGAGGCGTGGATCAAACAGACCTGAGAGAATTAAATTTCGAACACACTGGTTCTGAATTAATGATCAGTGCCTTATAAGCCTACCACATTCTCAATATTCAGGATAAATTACCATATCACTGCCAAAAATGTTGCCAAATCTCAAGAATAAGGACAGAAATCTGAATCTGGATGTTGTAAATGTGTCCTAAGAGGATGGAAGTCACAGAAATTTTGTTTGTATGAACACGTACACACGTATACACTGTATGTAAGAACAATTCCACTTAATTACATAATAATTCTAAATGTTTGAAAGCTTGATCCCACGTTACAGTGTTGTGGAACTTGAGTATTCCCACATTATGGTGTTGTGGAACTTGAGTATTCAGACATTACAGTGTTGTGGAACTTGAGTATTCCCACATTACGGTGTTGTGGAACTTGAGTATTCACACATTACGGTGTTGTGGAACTTGAGTATTCCCACATTACGGTGTTGTGGAACTTCGGTATTCCCACATTACGGTGTTGTGGAACTTGTACTAATAATCAAATACCATTTTGGTACTCACACTTGTACTCATGTTCATGAAAATGTATTCAAACTCCTACTCATAAGAACAATTTTTCATGAAGTCGTACTCATGCAGAAGTACTCATCGTGAGAGCATACTCCACGACAAAACTGGCTTTTTCCAACTTTCAAAACTCTCTCAACACCAGTTTAAAGACTGGTACTCCGGCCTCGTTTTGCCGTGCCTTACAGCTGATTGGTTTCGGTGAAATACTCCACCAGCCTTTCACACGTGGTCTCTGCAGACGAAATGCAGCCGTCCAGGTTGGAGTGTGTGAATGCGTCTCCCGCGGCAACCACGGCGTAGGTCGGCAGACGAGCTAGGAAGATGCAGCCGGGGTTGCCTTCGTAGGGTGTGGTCACCTGACAAGACAAATGCAGCCAGACAATGACCAATAAACATGCAGTTTGAATAGACCTGTATAAATATTTGAAATCAACAGACTTTTATCTGATAATAGAGTGCAGAATGTTTGGCATAATTGAAAAAGCGGTGTTCACAAGACCAGACTCTAACGTAGACTACAGGACGACAAAAGTTTGGTTTGGGCAGAGGGGTGGCCTCGGCATATCCTTCTGACTGCCCTTACAAAGAAATTACAAATTTGCATGATCCAAGCCGCGGATTAAGATGAAAATGTTACAACATACGATGTATATGCAAAGGTCTGCTCACTCACACATGTACCTGTGAGTAACGCCACCTCAGGCATTTGACCTCTGCCGGTTCTGGGAGGTCAGGCAGCAACTGGTACAAGTGCTGCATGATGACTCGCTGAATCTCATCTTTGTCTGCTTCAAGGTGCTGAATGCCGAATGGTACACTTGTGTGAACGACAAGGGATGGGCCCAGGCTGCCTGCATCTACATGTATAAGACAGTAGAAACCCACAGCAATCCCACTAAATAACTGCAGGAGTAAAGGTGCATTTTACTTAGCCCAAAACTAGTTGAGAATGCAATGGACCATTCCTAGCTTGTCTCGGTCGTCAAATGCATATAAACTTGCGTGCACATGCGGTGAGTTCGTCCTGTCAATTTCATTTAAAAACGCACTATCTTTTGTTCCCGCTCGAAGCAGATTCAAAAAAAGCAACAGTATGATACAAAACAAGCAAATCCAAAGAAAATAAAATGATCAACTCCAACCCACTCAACCGTGATGGTCCCCACACCCCCACTCTATCTACCTGCTCCTCTTTTCTTTACATCCGCCGAAATCCACCGGATGCAAGGATCCCCCTGCACGTAGCGAGCGCACCATGGAAGATCGAGTGCCGTCCCTGGCTTGTAGAACAGACCCAGGGCATAGCGAGAGGAGTAACGCACGGACTGAAGATGTGATTTCATCAGGGCGTTCTTTGCTGTGAATCATGGCAAGAGAATATAACACGGCGCTGTGGTACTCATTTCAACTTAGGTTTCACCAGCACCCCTCCCCCCAAAGAAAACTTTGTAAATGTAATTGTTCAAAAGGGTGATCAACGATTTTTCTACAGGAAAAGCATTTTTACATAAAGAATTTTTCTTCATTCATTCTGGTTTTTAGTTCTTCTGCATCCTGACTGTGTTAACAATGAAGCCTAGTGCATGATAAACACTTGAAAGATTCAATTTGATGTAAAAAACAAAATCTTCTGCCAACTGCTCGCTGACCAAAGTGACATGAAATCTACAAATTAAAGGGATTAAAAAGTCGGTCCTTTCACTTCTAAGCTCCCAATTTGCTCACACAACACATCTCTCACTTTCAAGAATGGTGACAGACATCTTTATGCATTTATCATGTCATGTTAGAATCAGAGTGGAGCAAAGTATATCAATCTTACCCAGCGCTTCCTGTACAAGACCCTTCTGTTGTAGGACCTGCCCCGTCGGCATCGTTAAGATCACTGCATCAAAGACCTCATCGTGCTGGCTTCCTGCAGCCCGCTCCTCCTGTGGGTTGGCCACTATTTTAATCCTCGTCCCTTTCTCTGTGGTTGCTGGTTTGACTGCCGTGTCATCGGACAGCGTGTCCAGGAACATCTTCACCGACGGAATCTCTGGTTGGGTTGACTCGTGTACATTCGCTGCTTCCAGTTTTGAGAGGTGATGTTGGTAATCTACTGTGGCACCTAGGTATATGTCACAGAATGTACACGCCTGAATGAACGTCCATCACCTGAATGATGGATCCTTGATCACGTGTCACTGCATTATTTGTCCCACTTCATGGCACGACCACACAACAAAATTCCACTGGTAAATAGACGTTCCATTTTTGTGGTCGCACTAAATTTCTGATCTCATAAGTGGTGCAGGGATTAATTCAGGCATTATTATGAATGACACAAATACAAAAAGGTTTTGACATTCATGCAATGGAAAGAGAATTTTTTACATGACGGCAGATGGAATGTTCCATGGCATTAGCTTCATTTCATTAAATTGAACATTCCATGCATCACCTGGTGAAATTATTCTCAAACTGCACTCAAGACCGTTCACTATATGTAAACTGTGAGCGATGAACACGGAGGAATAGGACCTGATTACATATCAGGAGTGTGAAAAGCACCTTAAGTTTCATGGACAGTGGGTGAAAAGTTTGTGCATGCATGGCGCCAATTTCTTCCTCGGTAACTGTACGTACCCGACGTCTGTAAAAAGTGTTTGACGATTGAACTGCTCCCGTTGGGGGTCACAAAGTTCAGCGTGCCCGGCTCACTCTCTTTGGATCCCTCAATTCTGCCCTCAAATGGCACCAAAACACCATTGGAAATCAACTCCTCATGGTACCTGATATCAATCCACAGGGAAACATAAGCCAGGTCCAATATAGAGCCACGTTCACAGGCTGCGTGCTAACTCTGAATCAGTTTGAAGTTAAACTGACATATGTAGCAAGAGTGGAAGTCTAAGTCATGTAATTCTATCTGAACCAAAATTCCAGGGGTATCAAAAGAAGTTATCAGGTTATTTTTAAAATACTTAGTTTGTTGGGTATTTGTTCCAGCCAGGCAGCATGATTTCAACAGATTTTCTTTTCCCTTGTTCTAAATCCTAATCTCCCTGACATTATGATCCACACAACAAAAAGCCAACTTTTATGAAAAAGCAACTTCAATATTCTCAATAATTCTTTATGTACTCTCTGAACCAAGTCTAAAGCATGCATTGGCTGAGCATGTATGTATGAACTATAATGTATCCGTCCATTACACAAAGACGTTCACACAAATAGCATTCCCAATGCCTAGTGTATGCATTAATCACAATGATGGTAAAAGAACTGAACAGGTGAAAGTGACATTAATCAGGCATAGGTTGGAAATGCAAAAAACATTGTCCATGATGTACATTTAGCCTACATGTGCATTAACACTTAGCATGTTTTTCTAACCTTTTGTGGCTTTCTGCATACTGTGGTGTAACTGTAATGTACTGAGCGCCAAGGTCAACACTGCATTGTGAGTTATCGGACTTTCGACTTGTGCTCATTCGTCCACCTGAATCAGGAAAAAAAAAGTTAAAGCCTAGTAAGTAGCAGCAGCATAAGTATCAAGAAAACATACAAATGCTTGAATCAAACTCCGACAATTTGCATGTTGACTCGTGTCACTGAGGGAGTGTGTTTCCTCAGTACTAAATGCTTCAATATATTCACAACTAAATGTGACTTTTTAGGATGTTCATTTGTTATCACTTTCTGATGGCTAATAATTAGTAATATTAAAACTGTGTAGGCTGGGCCTAACTTCATGATCTTCTTGTAACTTCCCGTCCTTGCTCTATCATGTTCCCACACATGCTGTAGGCCTAATAACTTTAAAAGGGAAGCAAAAAACGTACGATATCCAAAAAGTAAGGACAGCAATACATGCCATGACTTGGGCTTACTTACCCGGCCCTCTGGCCTTCTCCCATATGACTAACTCAATTTTGTGCTGCAGGTCCCGCTTTAAGATGTGGGCGCAAAGAGCTCCCGTAACGCCTGCTCCAGCGATGAGAATTTTCGGCATCATTACCATGGACTGGAGCTATGCACTCATGACAATTATCAAACAAAATACAATTAGGCCTGTGGTCTTTCCACGTCTTCCTAAATTTGCTGAACCCCTGTTTACCACAATTCAGCGAACGTATCGTAAAAAGTCTCACAGTTTTCAGGCTCAACAGCCACGGTACACTACAATTTTACAAAACGTAGCAAAATGTTTACTAGTAAAAGTTCAAAGGTTGCCGCGCCGGTATTACATGTATTATATTCTACGTGGCTTCAACCTCGTTTCCAAATACAAGTATGTCTCTTGTTTTCGCCTAGATCTTTCATCATATCAAATGGCTTACATTTTGCTTAAAAATGAAAATGACTAAAAGACAAATTAAAAACACGTGCGTTTCGAATCTTGTTGGTGATAACAAGTAAGTGACAAGTTCCTGCAGTACCTTGCCTCCTCCACAAAATCTGTGGAATAAATTATTCCTTAGGATGATGCTGAAAGCCTCCTCTACATTGGGAGATGCAGAGATTTGTAAATCACTCGACTCAATGGGAACAAGGTCAACTACTACACTAGCCGCACCGCCCATTGAACATCAGTGTCTCGATTCATTCGTGCACAATGTGGGAGCTTTTTGAGACGTGTTAAAACGACGGCTCGGCCCGGAAATGATGCTAATTTCTCAAAACTTCCCTGTCTGTATCACGACAACCAGTCATGGGGAACTGTTTGGGCACATGTTTTGGTTCTATCCGTCGGAAAAGGTAAAATTTAAAGGCCAAAGCCTGCAGTGCTGCGTTCAGGACTTAATGTATGGGGTATAGCATATCCAATCCAGCATTATGATTTATGATCATGTGATGGTTTGTTTTCATCGGCCATGTTGGACCACTAGTTGAGTAGGCGCAGGCATACGACAGGCAGTCGATTACTCTGTCTCACATGACCAGCTAATTTTCCCCATTTGAGGTCATGACAGTGTCACTTTAGCAATCTGTAGTTTTCAGGACACCTGTTTTAATTTTATGTGTTTTTACTTCTTAAAAAGTCATGTTAAACATGGAACTTAACGAAAAAGGTTTGGTTAGGTCCCATAACACTTGTTTGGCCCCATATACATGTATATAGTCTAACATGTGTCGTCCTCATAAATACAGGCGTAACAAGCATGTTTGCATATGTGCATGTTTGAGTCCGAAATGGCTTCTGCCATGTCTGCTGTCTGTCATTTTTGCAACAATAACGGATGTTGCTACAAAATGTGAAATTCTGGCCTAGGCCTACATGTATTCTGGCCTGTTTACTTACAATACCGGGATTTCATATCTACACATATTTGTCGCTGTAACAGTCAAGAAATGTGTCTTCCTGTCAATGAAATATATTTTTGAAAAAGGTATTTTCTGATTGGAATTTCAGTAAAGTAAACTACTTTGGTGGACGATACAAAGAATACAACGTTGGGATTGAATTTGAAAGTCTAATCGAGGATGTAAGTATTACCCTTGTGACGGACTGATGGTTGACTTGTTGCTGACTTATGGAGGGCTTGACTGTGGCACTGACCTGCTGATGTTTGGTGTCATGATTTTGTAGTGGCATTATCTAGTATCGAATGTGGATTACCATTCAAATGTCTAATCTTTTTAATTTTTATATTATCACGGATCAAGAGCAGTTAACAGGCATAAAGTATACAGCCAAAGAACAGTAAAATTTATGTACAAGTAATATTCATATGAAATTGATATACAGTTCAAAAAGTGTGTTTAAAAATACGACATTGCACACATGTAAGAACTGGAGAGTTTTTATCAAAATTGGGGAAAAGTAGGTTTTTTTGGAGAGGAAAGATGAGGTTCAAACAAAAATTCAGAAATTAGGAGGGGGGGTGTACACAGAATAAGTACATGTATGATAAATCAGACTCCTGAATAAAGTGTGACGCTGGGACTTAACGTGCATAGGGTGAAGCACCTGTGATTTCATGGTGTGAGTTTTGCATGTGTGCCCATGGCAGGACTTGGTCCAGCAGTCGGAGCGGGCGGCTATAACCGACTCGGAGAGGGACCATCTGCTCAACAAGCGATACAGCGACCTGGTCAAGGACCAGAAGAGAAGGGATGCAGAAATTGACTCGGAGGTATGCCATGTCATCAGGCACGAACGCAAGAATCAACCATTGCCATTCCCTTGTGGCCAGATTCCCATTTTTATTTATTTATACATGTATATCTGTTTACCCAACGGGGCATTAAGCGCCAATTACTGGATGAAGTGACAATTAAGAAGACAATAAAGAGTTGTTCAGATTTAGAGGTGGGAGGAAAACCCCGGATAAATATTCTTGGGAAACCCATGGAATCAGGCAGGGACTGAAAACCCAATCCATGTGCTGACCAAGGTGGGATTCGAACCCGGGTCGCAGAGGTGGAAGGCAACGAAAGAGCCACTCCACCAACCTGACTCTTCAAAGTCATTAGTACTTGTACGCTGTGCATGAACCATCTTAGAAAGAGGGAAAGCCAAATCTAGATCTGCCTTGCATTGCAAGAAAATTGATTGGCATGTTACGCGTTCAAAGCACCTACTTGCGACAGGTATGTCAGTTATACATATGCATGCACATGGTAAAATGCTTCATCACCTGCGATTTGCTACGCTACAGGATTGGTTGCGATTCACCCCACAAGGTTTCATCGTTGCAAAACTGTTTCTGTTAAATTTTTCAGTTCACAAAGGATTTCCACTTGGAATTTGTATAGACACTGTTATTTCTAACAGTGGAGCAAGGATAGGGTTACAGTCGGCCAAGAGGGGCTAAATATCTAAATATCTACTCATCCTATGGGTCAGAAAAGTAGTTCTTTTTGGCTCCGTGATATTCTGTAAATTTCTGTGTTCATAAACAATTGGTTTAAATTTATGTCTGAACAAATTTCAGCTTAAGAAACAAGAGGAGAACATCCGACTAGAGGAAGAGGCCTACATTGCAGCAAAGCGAGAATCGGCGAGAGCAGCGTTACAGACGAGGGCCCGGGAACCGCGGAGGAGTAGACCTGTAGCAAACGGGACAGCCAAGTCCTCGTGGTTGGGCGACAACGAAAGCGAGTGGAATGTGTGAGTACTGTATTCTCTCAGCTCCTTGCCTGCGGAGCCGTCTTTCAGTCGCCCACAGATCCCATCCAAAACGCACCTCTTTGTTGAACCTTATCAGTAGATATCCCCGACCCTAGCGCAGTGAATAGTTTTATCTAGATATCGGCACTTTTAAGTCTTGTCTTTAAATTGATTATTCTGTACATTTCAGGTTCCAATTGCTGCATAGCTTTTTTTATCATTTCCCCCTTTTTTGACCATGGTGGTACGGGTCCTTTGATTATTTCCTCACTTTCTGGTATTGAGAACCCCCCCACAAAAAAAAATTAGATGTGTTATCTGGTTATTTTAGAGCATTTTATCAGGCAGATATATTATTGCACTGAAACACAGTACTCCCCAGTGTAATGTGATGTCCAGCTCCCTCAACCCGTCCCTTGCTTTCAGAATTTCTCTCCCGGCAGAGCAGTTTTTAAGATTTTTGTCAGTCATCTCTCATCCCTTCACACCTGGCCGTCGGTTGTGCCCCTCGGAGTGAATACTAACTTGTATGTTCACGTTTCTCCTGTGTTCCAAGTTGTTCACTTACATGGTAGTCACATTACCCAGCATTGTTCCTTGTCGCTTCCTTAACCCTAACAGTCCTCAATCCTCCAACAGGTGAAGGATTGAGGAGTGTTAGGGTTAATCACGGCGTGTCTGCCGTGATTCGCCCAAATTTACTAAAATCCTGCATGCACACGTGTTTGGAACCTCCATTAACCCGTGAACAACTTTTGCATTCTTCAGGTTGTGGGAAAAGACCTCATATGAACCTTCCCATGGTCTTAGAAAAAGTGAGCTAAAGAAAAAGTGAGTCCAGCAGACAGTAGTACGCACTGTCTCGTCCAAAGAGAAACGCATGGAACAAAAAGAACTAACTGCTCATCGCATGACGGCTGCATGTCTCTAGTTTCGTTTGATTCTTTTTCACTCTTTGCCAGCATGTTGAGGAGTTTTCTTTTAGACTGCTGAAAATGGTGTTTATCACGTGGTATATCTTGTCCGTGTTATTATTTTGATCAGTGGATTTAGGTTCACTGTCTGATTTCAAACGCCATGTCCGGCCAGCTGACATAATTCTTGACTTGCATGTTTGAAGTTTTCAAATGTTGGATCAAATTCAAATGCAAAGAACCTAACGCGAAAATGTCCGAAAAGACATGCATATTGCCAGCCTGCAGTATCTTGAAATTTTCACTGAGAAAAAGTTCTTCATTCTACTTTTCTGCCTTTTTTTTTAACCAGAGCCGGGGCTGACGAGGACGACTTTGAAACATTCCTAGAGTCTGTGAAGGCACGATCTCAATCGGTCAGAGCAAACGGTAAGCTCCAAATGAAGGCATAACCTTCTTCAGCATCCATGAAACATTTCCTTACACTGGCTGATATTCTCTTCTCTAACCTCACTTCTGTACCCTTACAAACAGCAAAATACTCTTAGGTATTGCACCAATTTTCCCATCGCTTTTTAGATCTAGCCTTAAACATAATGATTCGCAAGTCACAACAGCTAGGGCTGAGTCAATTCGAATAATTCACTATTCGAATATTCGACCTTCAATTTCATTGAATATCCGAATATTCGGTCACACCGACCGGCAGATTGTTGATGAACAAACCATATACAAAATTAGTTGCAATAACACACACATTTGTACATTATGATTGATATAATAGCTTCTCACATCTAGGAGTATCTCCAGCCACGATTTTGCAAGATTTATGAGATGAACAAGACTTACAGCCCTGTCGAAAATTTCTATTCCTTTAATTGTTCAATCAATAATTTACTTTAAAATTGTTGTAAGATTTCTGACGCTTTTCATTTGAATCTGCATGAAACAAGCCTCCATAGTGCAATGTTTCTAATTTAAAACAAAAGAAAATTTTCCCTTACTTTTCATGAATTTTGCATTCAAATATTTAAATTCGAAAAATAATATTCAGTTATTCGGATATTCGGCGCAGCCCTAACAACAACTGCTTTTTAAGTTGAAGTCATGTCAAGGAATCTTGCATGATGGAAATCAACAGGACTCCTCAACATTTGTCTCTCTTCTAAAGTCCGTTTTGGTCAGGACTCCAAAGTGAGCAATACATCAAAAGATCTCAGTTTGCTCTTTGGTGTGCACACCAAAACAGAATATTTCAAAAAAACCAAATGACCATAGGACTCATTTTGTGGGATCCAGTCACATAATTTGTATGTAATTCTTGTTTGCCAACTATAACTACTTGGTTTGATGCAGTTGTAAATGTGAGTTTCTTTATAGGGACAACATGAACTTACCAAGTAGGACTCGCCACAGAATTAGAGTTTTCTCTGTACATGGAAATTAGAGGGTGTGCTTTCAGGGTTTTAAAGTTCTTTTAGTTGAATCAGAAATTATGCATGCACGTTTATCATCCCTTGAATGGACAGCATGGCGGGTACACCTCTGTCTGAGATTCTCTGGATTTTTCCAGATTTCAGTATACATGTATTTGTCCCCCATGACCTCGCCTACTCGTATGTTCACACGTGTACATGTATGTTGGTTAGTGCTAGAAAGTGTGTTTTATCCATACTCATCTTGTCCGTCTCGTACACGTACATGTTTTGTGCGCATCGCATCTCATTACTTCTTTGCTTACAACCTGGTTATCTTCTTTCAGATGACGACTCCGACATTGAATGGCCATGACTACATAGTATGCCTAAGGTAGACGTGTACGAGAGCATTGCGTGCCCCTTGTGTTGTGTTGGATAAAAACGCATGTCAGTCAATTACTTTGGACACTGCGATGAGTGGCTTTTCCAGCATGACGCATGTTTAAAGTACCTCAGATGTTTGCTTTTGTGACAAATCATATTGATGTTATGCCGTTGGTGCAGTCATCCCCAGTGCCATGATTTGTAAGGCCTGTGTTTTTTTTTTTTATTGGTCACGGTCTCTGCTTTATTACACTGGCGGTACAGCTCAGGGATGAATGGCAGATCAGTGAAATCAGCCACCTGCATCTGCGATACATATCCAGTGCACAGTTGAATTGCAGGCAGTACTTTCCTCATGATGTGAGGTTTTCACATACAGCTGTCGGTTAAAGGAGGTTGAGGTATATCCCCAGCTTGTGTCGACATGGAATGCATATCCAATCTATGATTGGTAGTTTTTACACAATGTCGTACATACAAATTGATACACTGTACAAAATGCTGAGGGTTATGGAACCTCATTTGAATGTACATGTACACCATCCATTTCGTCTAATATACAACAATTTGAAGTTTAATACATTGTACCTGTCATGTGTCCTAGAGAACTATGCTTCCACCCGAGTTGGAGCTGAACTCACAAATATGCAGTGCATTTTTAATCTTCAATTGGATGTTGTGATGGTTTTCTGGTGTGATTTTGTCATATTTTTTGGAATGTCTAAAATTAGAAAAAGCATTAATTCAAACTTGTCATTTCAATCAGATTTTAGATTTCTGAAAAGTGGTTTGAAAAGTGGTATGAATTGATGTGACATGATGAGTGTTGAGGTTAGTTGTGCCTTTGTGGTACTCCTGATTTTACACATCCCCCTACATTTCAGTTTGGCCTTCTTGGTTTTCGCCGGTGCATGAATGTGTGACGTGAGCAGAGCTGTCCGTCTTGAACCTACGCACTCTCACTTTTGTCCACGTTTCATTTGCCTGTCTGTTACTCCGAGTTGCTCGAAAAATTACGCCAGCAGACTGCTAGCCCGCTATTGTCATATGTCAGCCGGATAATACGGCTGGATCATTGCATGGCCCGAGAGGACAATGACTGGGCGTATGCAGGCTTTCAAGTCGCCCTGCAGTTGGCAGTGAAGTTCTCTCATAAATTGGCTCCATTTGAGAGACGATGTATTTTAAATAGAAATACTTTCAACAGCCATTTTTTCTACTTTCGTATACGCACGCAGCAACATTAAATTTATACATGTACGCATGGTCGGTGTATGTATCCTTTCAAGAGGGAACATTTTCCACCACCATACACTGGAAAGAGCTCTCAGGTTTTATAATTGGCTGTATTATTGCATGATCTTTGTTTCTTTTACGTTAAATCCCGAATGTCAAAACAGAACGTACAGATAAAAGTGGTCTGTGGAGTATTGAATAGATATTAATTGTGTAAGCTGTAAATGCCATACAGTAGCCCGTTCACAACATGGATTATGGCTACACGTACCCGCATATATTGTATCTTTACTTGTTTCTCAATGTCCTGTATTCCTTACAGTGGTGGTGGGTCTGTGCCGTGCCTATGTACAAATCCATACATATTGTATGAGTTCCCCAAGGTCGACGGTTATTTGAGTCCACTAGCATGCATTTTATTGCCTTTTTCTTTGTCCCTCAGGCTTGGCACATAACCCGTACGGTAGTATTGGGTATGCGACTACTGGTTTTAGCCATCCAGAGACATCAGACAGCTCTCCTAAATCGCGAGAAGCCTCCAATGAGCCGACGGAGTCTGATTCAGACTTTGAACCCGAGTTTGTCTCAGCTGAAACAGTACAAGTACAAGTGCCAACAAAGGACGCTCCAAACCCTGCAGAAGCTGAGCAGTTGCCGCACAACTCTAGGACAAACGTTGCCCCGCAATCAAACCTTGACCGGGTTGTTGTTGAAATGCACAATGAGGAGAAAATTCCCGGAGCAGGCAGAATTGAAGAGACGCCAATGGACTCTAGGAACTTTACACAGTCCACAGCAGTGCAATCTGGGAAGGAGAGCGGGCTGGACAGAAACCCCACAAACCAAGTGTTAGATGAGCCAAACGAGAGCAGAACAAACAGTGCAGAAACAGTACAGGCAACAAAACCAACCTTCAAATCGTCAGCCACAGAGGATGATCCTTTCGATTTTGACCGATTCCTTGAGGAGCTGGATCTAGAGTGACAACCAAATGGTTCTCAGGAAAACAGGAAAAAAGATTCTTGTCTTTTTTTTTTATCAAATCCCTATGATCAAGACTTGAACTCAACAACGTGAGCAACCGAAATGTATTGTATCCGTTATTTATCCCGTGCTTCTGACTCAAGAAAATAAACCAGACATGGTGCAGTGACTTTGAAATACATGTACAAGATCTGGTATCAAGCATGTGCTTGACATTAATTACATTGCTTGTCAATGAGGAGGCACTAAATTTGCATATATTTACATACTTTCGTGCATGTAAGCGGAGTACTATACATACACATAGACAATTTCAGTGTATAATTATAATGTAGATTCAAACATTTATTTTTCAAATTCAAAGGCAGTGGGATCATTTGTCTTTACCAGGAAAATGTACCTTTCAAATTCCAGAAACCCTTCCTGAAATGAAGAGTGAACTGGTGGAGTCAGGCTGTCTCGCATCTAATCTCTGGTACCGGCAGTTAATGAAATTATGCCCCAGAAATAGCCATAATTAGGTTTGAGATAGATGGGATTGCCTTGGGAATACAAAATGGGATTTTGATCGCTGTTCATGATATCTGACAAATTATCATACACAGCGACAACTTAAATTTACTTTGTTATTATTCATTTTGGCCCGCATTGGTTTGATGTCCACGCACGAGGGCATGTGGTCTGCACCTGTGTAATAACCGCTGTATAAAAACAGGGTACATGTACCTTGGGCTTTCAGGGGTTTTGTACAGTTCACTTATAGATTTCAAAAAAAATATTGCAAATTTCGTATGCCCAGAAGGCAAGGTGTTTTACGTTTAGTGCCAGTGTTGCCAAATGGTGATTAGTTACGAGCTTTGGTTGCAACTTGGAGCAAATGGCAAGAGAAAAAAAATTAGAGTTAGCAATTCAGTGGACACAAAATGTGCATTTACCTGAAACTTTGGCAACCGTTTAGCATTTGCCAGCTAGAGACTTGAGTCCGATGCTTGTGTATTCTGTGTTTAATGCCACATGATGGGAACAAGTACATGCCTGTGTGTTTTGCACTAGAGTTCATGAAGATTGCCCTTGACGCTCCCAAGGGCAGGTCCGGGGGGGGGGAACAGGAACCATGTCCCCACCCCACCCCAACCCACCCCAAGGACCCTTCGACCCCTAGGGCCCCCACCCCATTTTTTTCTAAATGAATGAGAAAATGACAATTTGGGGGTCTGTTGCGTTTCCTTTCAGAAGCATGTAAAAAGCCCCAAAACACAGCCTCACCCCTCCAAAAGGCCACGAAAGGTTACTCGAGAAAAATTTCAAAAAATTCTACGTCGCCCCTTCCCAAAACAAGTTTGGCCCCCGAAAATTTAGTCTTGGGTCCGCCCTTGGGTGCTCACACGTTTTCAACTCTGTTGGATGCACATGCATCAAATTCAAGAGGTTAAGTTTGCCATTTTTGAATGCAGCCAATCATATTTATCGTGAAAATAAATGATGTCAAAACAGTGAGCATGAAGCAGGTGCGTGGAGATACATGTATGTATGTAAATACCGATATAAAATTATCTTAATATTGTATTATTTTTGGTTGGCCTTTTTTATTGAATGTAAAATGTTTTCTCTTTTTTCTCTTATCTTTACACGTTATTCACATTTTTCTTTTATTTGGTTCAACTTTTCTGAAGATCAGTGGGAGTTCTGCTCTGTGCAGGAAAAATAGGTGATATGTTTTAGGAACCACATTTGGACTGAGCCAGGAATTGAACCCGGGCCACAGAGTTGAAAGGCATTTCATGTCAACTCCAACCTAACTTTCCTGTTGAAATGTGTGTCTTTGTACGTGCACCACACTCCAAATTGAAAGAATTTCCCACCACCGTGTCTCGCCTTTGTTCTTGAGGTTGTTCATGTTGTCAGTGTAAATTGTTTGAAAATGTTGGAATTTCTGGTATTGTAAACTTCCATTTTCAAGATTCTTTGTCACAATTGAAAATGATGGGCCTTGTTCGTGTGTGTCCGATTTCAATGAAATGGTTAAAAATGAAAACACATTTACATAAATTCAGTGAATATATGGTGTAAGTGCTATTTCCTCTGCAAATGTGAGCTTTCGTTGCATGTGAAGAAGTGTCCAGTGATTCATCTGAAATCTAACTGGTTTCTCTGACAGTCTTTTGTTGTTTTAAGTTTGAATTGTACAAACAATTCCGAGTATTTGAAGAAAACCAGTATGTACATGGAAGTATTGTTTAACTTGCCTAGGTTTACTGTTTGGTTTTTTAGTTTTGATTTTGTTTTGTTTTTAATGTTTTCACGACAGTGACTTACTTAGCCTTGAAGAATATATGCAGAAATACCTTGGACTAGTTTTACCACAAATTATTGGAGCACATTCTGTGCCTTGAGCAGAAACACCCCCTATTGGTTGGAAAGAGCCAGTTTGGTTAGGAGTGATCATTTTGCTTGTAGTGACGCGACGGCAATGTGTACATTTCATAATCGTTTGTGAACCAGCGAAGTGCAGTCCCACTAAAGGAGCCACCGTTGCTAGGAAAACTGCACCCTCTCTTGGTCCAGCTCAGGGCTCATGGGGATAATCTGGTTCGTAAGTGACTTCATCACAAAGGCGGACACGTCACGATTTGCAGGCTCCCATTGGACGATTGCTGAAGTTGTGTGTTAACTGCCGGTTCCACAGTTCCGTGTAAACGGCTATCAATGCATGAAACTCTATGTGTGGTGCATGTGCGGCGGGCGTGGTTTAAACTGAAGTGACGTCACACTTACAAACCGGATTAAATATACAGCTTCTCAAGCAATGAAATCTGAAAGGCACACAGAAACATTTGCATAGCTGAAGTACAGTATATTATCAGTCAAACTCTCATGGTTTGAACATTGCTTTCAACTGGTCCCATGCAGTTTTAGCTCAGTGCACTGTCAGCACTGCTTTCTATCTGATGAAACCATATTTGGTTAAGGCTACAAAACTCAGTTTTCAGGCACATTCCCTTTAGTTACAAGTCTACCTAGTTCCTGCAAACAACTTTTAAAGATGAAGAGGAATGGAAAAGATGCAGATGAGATGAAATATTCATTAATTTCACTGTGCTCTGATGAATTATTCTTAATTATGCATAAAAAGTATCTCATTACTTCCGACCAAATTAGACTTAATCATAATTGAAAGCCAGAAAAATACTTGCCCTGCAACCGTCACAAAACGGTTTGACCCCTTCCCTTGAGTGTCCATACAAGAATGCGAGTGAACATTGGGGCTTGTTTACCAGAAAAAGTATTTCGGGTGTGCTTGTGTGTAGATTTAACAACGTGACAAGATCACTACTTTCATATGGGGTGGAAGTGGGGTAGCTTTTTTCCTGTCAATGGTAATGTTTTTGGATTTTCTGTGTGTAGGCTGTAGTGATTCACCGAGTTATGTACATGTACGGTAGATCCATGTAACTCGTGTCGATTGGGGGCTTATTCCAACTATTTAGCAGCTGTGTTCCGGCAGAGGCTCTTAGTTACTCTTGAACAGAACAGAGTAAGTAGGATGCAGTGACAAAATGTCTTGCCACAAATATACAATCAGAAAAGGAGTCTGTATTCTCATGTCAGTCGCAGGTTTCAATTTGTGAGGTAGTTATTGGTTGTTGCTGCTTCCAAGGTTTGCTTCACAATAAAAAGTCCAAAATATTTTTGTAAGACAGACTTATTGATTTTGACGGCGTTTTGTGGAAGGTTGTTTCAGATGCATCGCTGTGGGGAACAATCAAGTTATTTCCAGGGATGAACCTCAATGTTATAGTAATTTATTTATTGAAATGTCAGAATTTTGCATATTTTGCCCTTGTTTTGTGATTCATTTAGTACCTTACAAACAAACCAGTTAGTTCTTAGTAGATCAAAGAAATTACAAAACATATCAAATAAACGTACAATTGCATAAAGGAAGGGAAAAACAATATTAAAACAAACAAAACCACGTAAATATCAAACTGGAATACGTCATACTCATGTATTTCCAAAAGTTTTAATGTGGATGAATTTGTCAACCATGATTTTCTGGAAAATAAGACACAAAGGACAAGCGAAACAAACATGCTGCAGCCTTTGTAAAAAGTCAAGATCTTCAAGTTGGCATCTGAGCTACTTCTGGGCATGTCGCCCAAACATATTTGACAGTTTGTCGAAAATGTTGTCTCTTTAAGAAACCCTGCTGTGACACGAATATTCATTTCACATCATTTGTCTACTAATGTTAAAATTTGCTGCTTGCTGCTTATTATGGAATGTGCCCCATAGTGAAATGTACGCATGATCTTGAAAACATATCACCAGAAATGTAAATAATTAATTATGCAAAACTCTAACAAAAGCAGCAAGATTTTACAAATCTGTTAGGCACCAAAGCAATATTCAGCAAACACATTTCGCTTGGACGGAATTTTGCACTGAACACCAGTGGCTGGAAAGTGGCCGGATTTCTTCATAACTACAACCCACAGTACACGTCAGGCAAACATCTAGAGCATCAGAAAGAAATACGACATTCTAAGCTGTCCAAAAATTGTAGACGTACAGTGGTTTTCAATTTGTAATGGCATATATAGGGATTACAAAACTGGAGACACAGCTTCAGAAAGAAAAGTTGTGTGTCTGATACGTACAGGAATTTTCCGTCTCATACTTCAGACTCCAAATACTAAAATTTCACATGTGATTGTACCTCAGAATGAACTTTTCTGTATTAAAATATGAAAACGGTAAATGGCTTTGTACATGTATATACACATCACTTTACAAAAAAAAATGAGGCAGTTATAAAATATACTTATGTACATCGACACAGCAAATATAATTTCCAATTAACTTAGTGAATATTAACTCTTTGGTGGACAGTTGGACAGGAAGTTGGAAAGTTAAATCAGCGCACTTGTTATGACAAGCAGGATGAGGTAAGTAACCGTCATTCGTGGTTTGGGCTATATTTACTTTAGCCGGCAATTCAGAACAAAAATGTAACGTAACCTTAACAACGTTTCCATGTTGACAGGTTCGCATCTTTCACCTTTCTCTAGTCTGGACTCGAGCCGTCAGTATTCAACCGTTGTAGAAGAGTTACAATGCAATATCAAGTCCACCTTGCACTGGTACAACGGTCATCTGGAAATGTCTCTCTGTCCTTGGGCAATAAACTTGGGCTCTCCTGTCCTATACTGATGATGCTATGACTTGTCTGAAGTTGGTGCTATTAATGGTCCTGAAAAAAATAAAATTGTCAAATATGGATAAAAGGGGCTACGTCATCAACGTTCAAACCGTTGTACTTCCCATGTACCATAATTGTATCTGAATTACTTGCCAGTTCAAAATAAGGAAATGACTGTCATTAGTTCCAGACTTCAAATATTTGGAAACTAATTTTATTACATGTACTTTGCACTCAGTCTTTTTTTTTTGTTTTTTTTTAGTTTTTTATTTTTCCTTTGATTTATAATACTCTGAAATGCCTTGTCAAAAATGCACTCTTGCGTCATATTACAAGAGTGATCTTTGAAAGTTCCCAAAGTTTCCCTAAAATTTCTTAAAATTCCAATATATTTCCATTCAGGACAAAATCAATTCAGACTGACCTGAAAACGTTCTGGTTGATGATGGAAGTGGTGGTCGCCGATTTGGGACCCGGTGAAGGCATGAATATCTTGCCGCTGTTGTTCATTGGCGGAGGTCCTTTCTTCTTCTTGAGCTTGTAGGGATCGTTGGAATGAGAGGGGTAAGGGTCAAAGGTCCCCGCCTTGCAACCAGCAATCTGAAGATAACAGAAGACAAGTTAATGTGACGACACGTATCGATAGGTAGTTTGGAGAACAGGTATACTACGGAGGAAAAGCAAAAACACCGAGGTACTTTTAAAATTTTTTGTAAAAATTGAAGAATGCAGTTTACTGGCCAAATTGCTTAACAACCTTAGGAAAAAAATTGTCCTGGTATTCCATGAAGTCTGGTTTTATTTGAAATTGTGGCCCAACCTAACAAACATTAGTCATGAGTGGCAACAGTGACTTTTGAATCGAAAGACCTCAGAAAATATCATTGTGTGAATCAACCCTTGACATTATTGACCCACATAACTGTCCATTTCAACCGAATGCTAAACTGAGCAATACATCAAAATAAGGAGACCAGTTCGCTTTTTCCAACACAAACTAAAACCAAACTCATGGCCTTAGGACTCATTTTGCGGGATCCGGTCACACATATCTGCTGGTCAAAATATTAAGTGTGGTCTTTTTGGAACGATGTGTCCTTACTTCTTTTGCTGGGTGACTGGGCTTGAACGGTTTGACTTCTCTCTTGGGCGTTCCGATCTTCTTGATGGGTGGCAAGGGTTTGTCAGTAGCGTAGGGGTTGGCGTCAAACACTGCCTTCGGGTGCATCCCCAGCTTGAAGGCTCCACCTTTGGTCGCGCTCTTGTGGGCCTCTAGTTCTTTCTGAAAGTATTGTTACAGTTGAAGTGTTGCACATCAGGCATTTGCAGCAACCATGTCTACGTGTACATATATGTCAGTGCACTGGCATTTGATTATAAGAGGATAACCGTGAAGTATGGATAAAGGCCAGTTCATCGTTAAATTTGGTAGGTACTTACCCGTCTTAATTCTTTGCCTTTGTTGTATGGGTTGGATGAATAGGTATAGCCTTTGCCTATCGTTAGCGATGGGTACCTAATTGAAGAAGAATTTTAAACATGTGATATACTGTGGTTCGAGTGTTCATCCCCAAAATGGACTTCTTTCAAAACATTTAACAACAAAAATTGAACCATTTCTACTCGCTTACCCATATCCTGTTCCGATTTTTCCTGGATTTGTGGTGAAGTTTCTACCGTCCGATTTGTAGGGTTTTCCGGGTTTCTTCACCGGACTGAAGGCTCCCACAGGACCGGATAGTGTGCCATAATGGTTGCCAAGTCCACTCCTAAAACACAAGTATGAATGAAAACTTACTGACAACCTATTCCTTTCCTAGCTGAAAATGTGCAGACTCCATATGGATCTGCTGAATGGAAAAATCAGGTGAGGCCGATGTGCTTTTTTTTACTACAAATACAAAACAGCTGAAAACTAGCCACAAGATGCGTTCATTTCAAAATTATTACACTGACTGTCCTCGGGAGAAACTTTGGGAAAAGTAGTTTGCTTGGAGTGGTTGCACCCTGGACATAAACCAGTCACATTCAAAGAATTATACATGCACATTTCTCCTAAATCAATATCCAGCTCACAAAGGATGTATGTCATTGCACAAACTTGTCTTGGTGTGGGTAGGTAACCAACAGCTGTGAAACTTCTTGTCAGATTGTCAGAAATATATACTGACTCGACTGTAAGAAGTTGTATTCCAACAACTTTTGAGGAGTGTTCATGGAACACACAAATGTGAAGCAACTCTTATAATTGCTGAGAGAAGAGCGTGGTGGAGGGGTTAGGGATAGAATCCACCTGCTGGCCACAGGTTGTATCCTTGAGCAAGCCACTTTACCCCAATTTGCCTCTCTCCACCAAGGAGTCTATAAAGGGGCAACTGCATTAGCTGGGGAGTAACTAGACTTGACTCAAGTCGGGATCTCTATGACGTCTTTGTTTCTGCTTTGGATACGCATCTAATCGAGACCGCCATTACTTGCTTCGCGTCCTTTTGTGTCGTTTTATTACTCTGAATTCAGTTGAGAAATCCCGACTTGACGAATCTGCCAACCGTTTGTACACAGGGAATCGGCTTATCTACCAAAAGTGGTAGTAGCAAATCACATTGCAGGACTTGTTTTTACGTCGTTCATACCTGCATTATTATGACCGAGTCTACAAGTCTGACTACTTTGATTGGTGGAAATTCCGTATACATTATGCAAGATCATGTTGTTCATATGCAATTATGAATGACTACATATCACTGCAGGGGGTCCGATTGGCTTATTCATCAAGTCGGACTTACTCACTGGTGACATATGATATACGTTGTACAATAAAGGCTATCAAATAAGGGTGCCTTATGCAACCTGCCGGGCCGAGCGTGACGACCATCGCAGTAGTGCGTACTGGCTGAAGGGATAGCTAACTAGGGCAGAGCAATGTAAGTCTGACTTGATTTCAGTCTAGGGAGTAACCTGTGATGGACTGGCATCCCAACCAAGGGGTGCACAGCTATTCCCAGTTGTTTCGTGCCAAGGAAACTGGAGATAGACCCTGGCCTGATGGGCCAGGGTGGCCCAGGACAGATTTTGCTTAGGACCCCTTGTCACTACGGTACTCACTGCATTTTGGTCCCACTGCTGGGCAGGAATGCCTTCCCAATGTTCTTCTTGGATTCCTTGACTTTGTACTGCCTACGCATCTTCACAGGGTCACTGTACGCTTCGCCCTCCATGATGCGGGTGAACTTCTCGCTGAAGTAACCCCCTTGCCCTGCCGTCCTGGTCTTGCTTCCACCAGGCAGCATTTGCTTGCCTTTGTAAGCGGACACGTTGAAGGCCTCTGCAAACACGAAGAATGGAACAGCAACTCTTTAAAAGTGTCCAACACAAAGACCATGTTCGTTTGGATACACTCTCATCTTTCATCTGTAATTTTTCTGATTCTCTGTATTTTGCAAAGACTGAAAACATTACACAAGTAGTAGGACTCCTAATGCAAGTATATTTGTTGGGTATGAGCCCACATGATCTGTCAGTTGATCAGTCAACTGAACTGTGATATCAGTTGAGAATTCAGGACATCTTGGACTTCATCCTTCAGGGAAAAAGCCTTCCACAACTGTGGAAGAAAAGGTGATTTGGCAACTTCATTGGAGTATGCCTGACCTTTTGACCTATGCTTGCATAACCGAGGGAGGTATCTGTCATTGCTTCACACCCTCAGACAGGAGACCTAAGTAGCTCTCAAATGACACCTAATTTGTCCAGATAGGCAGAAGTTAAACGTTGACAGATCAGGCATCAAGATTGATCAGTAATGCTGTGATCAACCGACTGCGTCCAACATGTAGGGTTACGATCACCATGACGCTCGGAAAAGGGATGAAAATATCTGCTGTTGCCTGTAAAATGTACATTCAAACTGCTATACCAACAAACCCAAAACTAACTTACTTGTTCCAGGCATTTTGTATTTATCACTAATTGTCACATATTCCATCTCCTGAAACAGGCCGATGCGTTCCATGTCGGTCTTTCCACTCCCCTTCTCAGACGGCATCTTGAAGCTGTCTGTGGAACTCTGCTGTCAAAGAATGCTGTTGGCCCTTTGTAGTCTGAAAAAAACCCAATTGTGATCCTCTAAGTAAAGTTGTTATTTACCACACGCATTCTTGTAGTCATATTTTATAATGTACAGCCTATCATAAGGTCTTGAAATAAACAAAAACTTTGGTGTAATGTACCCACAGAACTGTGGGGTTCGACATCCCCTGTGTGGGAGCGCAGCAGATGATGAACCCCACAGTTTTGGGGTGGGTGTACAAAAATCCATGCTGGTGGTGCCTATGTTATCTAACCACTGAACCAGAAATTTATTCCAACTATTTTTAGCAAACAAATGTGTTGGTGTCATGGTGCCTTGTTGTACATTATAAATGCACCACGTTATGTCCTGTCCGTGTCCTGTGTAAGGCGCCTTACCAAATACTCAAGATGTGTTTGCCACGTTTTCCAAACATGTAGCCCATTTTAAATTTGTTAACTGTACGCTTACAAGTCAAAATTCCATCATCCGACATGTCAAACGTCAATCATTCTATGTTCTCATTACTTCCATTTTCATTTTTTCATTTTACGCAGTGATACTCAACCATACCACCTTCAACGTTTTCCAAATTTGAACTTTTAAGTTTTAGGACCTCAATCTCACTTTATTTCCACATACGACAAAATATTAGATATTGTGTATAACACAAGAAAAAACAATACATGTCATGTATGTGGAGGGATCCCATCGGAATAAAAGCTTGTCGAGAATGGGAACCCTTCAATATCCACCACGGTCACTAACACGATTGGCACGTGTGGAAAAGGATGCATAAATTGGGACATAAATTTTAGGCCTAACTCGACTAGCTCGCATGGAGGCTAGGTGTGTTCTTATCTTCTACGCACCACCAAAACTCTACAGTATTTGTTATACTCACAGTCACGCTATATGATGAGAGATAAGTACACTAAGTCGCTCGATGTTGAACAAATGCTGTCTCTAACGCATATTGTTGATCGGAGACTGTCCGTAGGCCACGAATCATGCCAACGCATAGCCGGAAATGGGCCTCGGCTTACACGTACACGCACACAACCTTGCTTCGGCTCCGATATGCGATACACCTCTGTTTCAACACGTCGCCAAGCAACAGATCTTTGCTGGTAGACTGGAAACCTAGCCTCATCTTGCACAGATTGAGCTGGTGTCCTATCTAACGCTCGCCGCGCGTGCGGCTTCATAAATTTGCAAAAAAAACCGATGAGTTTTTTAATGTGAAATACTGATTGCCTGTAGTCATGGTAGCGTCGGTAAAATGCCAAAGCACAAATTGGTCGACGAATCACTATTATTACAAAGAAAATTCTGGCAAAAAATTTTTCTTCCGGAAATAGCTTTAGCCTACACAGTTGTTAATATCCCGAAACGGATTAATCAGTTACTGAAGAAATAAAATGAAGTAAAATTCATTCTCTCTTCGAGGGGTGTTATTCTGCTTTGTCAAATGAATCTGCGCTTGGAGGAAGCAGACGTCAGTCAATGTATTAATGAGTGATTGATAATTTAACCAATAAACCTAAATTGTTTCGTTGTGCATTTTGCAGACTGTTCAGCTGCAGAAGACATGATGATGTGGGTGTGCGCGTGGTCGCCAGAGACTAAACTTGAAGATACCATAAAAGCGACAAAAAATAAAAGTTAGGGCACGCACTGAATCAGAGTCGAGGCTAATGGAGCTCAAGTTTTGAAATATACGAAACCTCAACGTATCCGAGTGGGCCATATTTTTCTCATCTGGGAGAAAAATCAGTCTCTTAAATGGTATAATAATAAATAAATATCAGTAAATTATATGAAATTTTAATTCCTTACTACAGGTTTAAAGTTGATTGTTCCGGGACAGCGGTTCCCTTACTGTGATGTTAACCACATTACCTAACTCACCAGGAATGGTCCATGTATTCATAAAAAGAATGTATTCATTAATTTACAATTTAATGACAAGTATAAAACACATTATCTACAAAATCATATTTTACCATTGACAACACACTTCTGGTTCTTTTATAAAAGTCATTCTACTGTTACTGTTATTTCAGTTCATTTGTTTTTGCATCTCACAAAACTCAAACAAGGAAATGGTACGACCTCAGGAAAACAGCTCAGAAAATCATGGGTCTAGAATTACCAACTCTTGAAAGTCGGTACAGTAATTAACCAAGGTAAATGGTTTCATTTCCCCCTCTGTTTAATAACTGGGGTTGTAATAAATCAGGATTATGCTTGGGTGTTCCCCGCAACATTAAACCTCGCTAGATTCAATTGTTCGGGATTCAATATTCCCCTCATCACGCGTGAAACGAAACTCTTAATATTGACCATAAAATTATAAGGTTATGTACAAACAATCACACATTGCCGTGAGATAATTATTCAAGTTCATACAAATAGTTACATGTAACATGATTTAATGAGAAGCAGATCCTACAAAACTGCGTACTGGCAGCATTAAAACATCGTTTACCAATCAAAGTGTACTGCAAGTGTGTGCATTGAATTAAAAACTGCAACTCACCATTCGAACTGCTTTCTCATGCCTCCCGTAAGCTGCAGGCAGCCAGAAACGTAAGGTTATCGGCAGAGGCTGGCAAAAAGGAAGTTGTTACCTCTAGCCGAAGTTCCATCGAAATCAACAACTCGCGCATTTTTTGCTCAGCAAGAAAACTCTGAAATGCACAAAAGAATGTCTGGTATGCGAAAAGAACAAAAGCGAGGATACAACATATTCTAATTCCGAGCGTAAAATCCGGGGCGGAACTGTGAGAAGAAAGTGTGAGACCGCAGGAGGGCGCCAGTCAGAATTGTTTATGGTTGCAGGCCACTAAGTAAACTGTCGTAGCCAACAGTGTATACCCGAACTTCAAAAAAATCAGGAAAAATACTCACGAGTTTCTCAGGCGTTCGAGATGCACGTCAAATTAAAGCCCAGATTATGATGTTTCATTTCCTTTTCAAATTTCCATTCATTAACTCATGACTTCCGAAGATATTTATTTCCACAGAGGGTCACCCGTACAATGCAGTCTTGAAGCCCCTCGTCATTTTTAAATATCGATACCTACACTTCTCTAAAAATACTCCGTTTCCAGGCACCGATTTCTTCCAAATCTCACTAAGATGTACGCTGGTATTCTCTTTACCCGCCTAAACCTGTATTTTCTACAAATCTTCAAGTTCATGGGCCACAAAATGCTCTATTTCGTAGGGAATTGAGTGCATTTCTAATTGTAATTTGACCCGCGCAAGCAGTTTTCGGATTATTTACCGGTCTGCATCTTGTACGCACGTCTAGCGTACAGCACACGTTTGCGAAAGTACAAAGCTGACAAGTGAAACGACGGAACAGAATCAATGTGACTCAACAAAGCAAAATGAACCAGCGTTAGGTGAGAGCAGGGCGAAAACTGGACCTGGTAACACCCAAAATATTTTTATTTTACCTTTTCCAAAATAATGTTCACTTTCATGAAAATATACTGAAACAAGATGACGAATATTATTACACTCGATTGCTATATTATCGCGGAAATTTGACCATCGCAGTATCGGAAATTTTGAATGTTGCGTTGCCAGTGAGTTCCCAATCGGCAATATTCGCCCAGGTCATCAATAATCTATGGCCTGAGGATAAGTTTTGTTAAAGCAGAGAGAGAAACTCTGCACGTTTCCGTAAGTTTTGATAATCGATGTATTTTTTCCGAAATTTGTACACTCTCCTTGACTGTGTCCATCATTACCTACCGTCCATCTCTTTAACAGTTATTTGTAACGCCACCCTGCCACTGGATATCAATTGCTGGGTTCCCATGTCAATTTCAAAATGACCAATGGTGTTTAAAGGAACATTTTAACTGCTAAGATTTCCATTTTTTTTGAGTCAAAATAAGGGCTTCTGCGCTGAAAAACCTTTTGCGTGTGTAAAGCGCGCCCCCAATCTCCATTAATTGATAATTATGTCGGCATTATTGTCGCAATTTGTTTGCTTTTCTAATACAATTTGAAGAATTTCCAACTGATATTTAGAATTTGTAACATACATTTTAAATAAAATAGTTCAGGTTTTTGATGAGATGGTTATAACTCTCGGAAAATTAGAACTCAGAAAGAAGACATTTTTACCAATTGTTTCAGACATCAATAAAAAAAATGAGTCCACCAAAAAATGAAATTTGCGATACCCACATAATTTATTATTCCTTCGGCAAAACACAAATTGAAGTCATGAGATGAATGTCGTTGCTACAGTCTGCTGGTGGAATCTACATCACAACATTTTGGACACTTGAAGTCTCATGTAAAATAATGAAGATATTGCAGTAACAGGCAAATAAATTGGCACCCGTTTCGCACACTTCTTCACCACCGCACAATTACATACATGTACCTTTGTCAAATGGAACATCTGAAGTCTGGTCTCTACCTCTTGGCAGTTATGCCACCAGACTACTGAATGGTCTATCTTGAATACGATAGACAAGTTCTGGCCTTATACCGTGCTCCTAACTGAAATCACTTCAATCCGCAAAGACATGCCCAAAATGAAGCTTGCGAACGCGGTTGTGAGTTCTGTCTCGTGCATGTGCTTTGTTCCCAATTGACCTTGCTTCTTTAGTGCTTGAAATAATGGAAATGGTTTATTAATAATTGGAAAAAACGCAATGGCTGTTCTTATTTCAGATGCACCCCTGTAAAAGTTTGTGGATTATGTTTACCTCTTAAAAAAAGTACAGCATTATTTGATTTTTATTTTTTAAACTATGTAACTTCCTGTTCCATTTGTGTACCTTTTCCAAGTTCCAACCAAGCACAGATAGTCAACTAAAGACCCACTGTCTTCTAATTTGCACTACTGCAACATTTTGCCGGTGCTGCCTCCAAGTTGTGGCCTGAGACAGACCAACTGAACTAATGCTCATCAGAATGAGTCATCTTAATGTTCACTTCCATGACGTCTTTGAGGAGGGTTCGACAGTTGTTCGTCAGAGGATTCCCCTCCAAGTTGATCTCTTGCAAAGTTGATGAAGCCGTTGACAAACACTGGCAGTCTACATCTGGATGCACAGTAAATGCATAGAATCATTGGGAAATTCCGAATAAAAAAACTACCACCCACAGTGCACCATGGTTGCATGTCTTCAACTTTCATCCTATCTCCGTGTACATGTATCATACATTGCCCTTGGGCAAGGTTCTTTGTCACTCTTTGCTTCTCCCCCCCCCCCCGGAGTAATTGGGTACCTGTGAGGGCGGAGATGATTTAGCTGCTCTGCTGAAATAGTGGCATCGAGCTGTATACTCCCCAGGGAGCTGAGTTGGTATTTGGAATGTTTCATGAGCCCGATCAGCAGGGGTAAGCATAATGGAAAATGCTCCGGTCTTAGTTAAAAGCACTACATAAGAACCCTGTTATTATTATTCAGCCATCTGTGCATTGTGTGCTGTAAACTGGGCGAAATGGAGAAGAGTGGAGTTAAAAAAAAAGAAATTGAGATGAAACTGAACAGTTTTGAGGTATTGTGACACTCCCCTTGCACTCAGCCGATGTCGTTACGGTACTTAACCAGCCAGGCTTGTTCATCCAGGCTATTGAAGTCTTACCGGAAATACTGTTATTCTGAAGATTCAGCACCTCCAATTTTGGAAGACTAGAGATGATTGCTGCTGGGAATACAGTGAGGACGTTGTTGGCTAAATTGAGAGTCTGAAGGTCGTGTAGTCGTGACAGCCCATCTTGGAGACTTTCAAGTTTGTTTGACGACAGGTCAAGGACTGGCATTAAACATTGAATTACAGAAAATAGAAATGAATACAATACAATCACTAACTTTTGGCATCCTGGACAGGGTTGGTTTCTGAAAGGTACTAAAATAGCATTTACTGCATTCAGAAATGAACTAGTCATTTTAATTACAGGGAGGGACCACGGTTTCTAAAGACCAACCTGTTGAGATAAGATCAGAAGGTTTTCATGGTGGATCGCTGTAAGGCTTGTGGTTTGCAGTGACACCATGTAGCTACATGTAGCTTGAAAGATCAATCTCTTTTGTGAGCATGTGCGACTCCACAAGCAGCCAGTTAAATCAATGTTTCAGACGGTGTGCTCTCTCTGTCGCCAAATGTGAGATCGCCAATGTACACAGTTCACACCCACACACATTGCCACTTACCTTTCAAATGAACAAACGTTGCGGCAAACTTGGCCGGCAATTTCTTCAGCAAGTTATGCGACAAGTCACATGACTCGATGGTGGTGTGCCTCGTGAGGTGGAAGACGGCGTCAGGGAAGGCGGTCAGGAGGCAGTGGGACAAGTCTGGAAAAGAAATTGGTAATGTTAACAAAATGAAACAATTGATGCAGGATTGTCAAAGTACGTGTATAATAAGGAGTGGCCATCGAAAAAAAGAGACTGTAAATGACTTGTCCATGTAGAGTGCAACAGGGCAAACAGAATAAGAAGCCGTTAAAGTGGTGGCACACTGCTCATGGACAGGTGGTGCGCACACGTTGAGCGACTCGGTAACCAATAGGGTGTCGTGATTCTCCAAGTACAAGTGTGTCAAGTGCAATGCCACCCAGTTATGGCGCCTCTACAAACTAGTCAAATGGGGTTGTGTGTGACACTGTAGATAGGCCTAAGTTCTCAAATTTACACATAACTGAAAACTCCTGATAGAAAAATGATAATGCATGACTACCAGGTAATGGTCCAATAACAGCATGTAATTTAACCCTATGGAACCGACTCTTTGGCTAAAGGGCTTTGTAAAGCCAATCGGTACAAGTCTGCATGTGTGCAATTTCAAGAGTAACCATGATAATTTGACTGAATGACTGGTTAGAATGCATGTAATGTATTATGACACACACTGGTTACAATAAAATTACCGGTCATGCCGGTAAGGTGATAAGCACCACCTCAGTCGATCTCCATGATGCCCAGTGACATATAACTATCACCGGCATGATCAGTGATGACCAACTAACTACATGTAGTAAGCTACATTCCTCAATCAGTGCTCACCAAGTTTGCAATCTTCACTTGCTTGCTCACATCGGTGGACGACCCTCGTCACGTCACCTGCCGCCATTGACACGATGCGCATGTACTCTCCAGTCTAGCCTACCATGTACATTTAAACGGAGTACGACTGACGCAATGCAGACAACGTCCACAGCACGACTGACCTCCGCGGCTACGTAAAACTTGCTCTCCACACAACATCACATCAGGACCAACAAACATCTGGCTAATGGGTGCGAATTGTAATTGTTGTGTTATGAAAGGATAACACTCACCAAGTACTGCGTAGTATCATTTGGAAGGCACACAGGTAATTTGCAAGGTCACGTTACTCAGAAAAGAGTGCAGATGGGTTGTAGCTCTATGGTAGCACAGAGGCCGATCCGACACTCCGTCAGAAAAGGAAACAGGAAGCAGCTGCTTGAGGAAAGGGCGCCACCGCAAGTTGCGCTCGTCCATAGGCCATGATGAGGTTGCACTACAGGGTCCAGTCCACTAATTCAAGCCCCATTGAAAACAGTGTAAAATCAGCACTGTTCAGGGCCCAATAACATGCATACCAACATCCCTGAGATTTCAGAAACACAAATGAAATGATTGTCTAGTCCCTAATCTCTTTCAATTTCTTTTCATTTTTTTGTGGGTTAACCAATTACATTTTCAATTATTCCCACAAAACAAAATCACCCCCCGAAAAGTGATTTTTCCAAGTCCGATTACAGCCATTTTTCAAGTGGCAACCCTCAACTTTCGCGGGCACTTACGACCATTTTTCAATCGTAGTTTTTAGCTATTCTGCTCTCATATGAAAGCTCAAAGACCCAGGGAGTTGATCCTGGCAAAGATTTACACAATCTCACCATTTTGGGGGACAAACAATCTCCCTTTTCCAAAGATACTGGGGGGGCACTTTCAATGCTAATGAGCTGGCCAGAAATTTGCACTTGAATTAGTGGTCTGCACCCTACACGAAAATAGTGCAAAATAGGACCGAAATAGCGCCGCCTGTTGACTCTCGTGGAGAGGTTGGCCTCTGTTTTTTCACTGGAAATTCAAAATTATTGCGATACTGTACTGCGTGTACTGTGCGCTATGTACATTATGTTGGCGTTCTGGCGATGACGTCATCCAATCAGCCTGGGAGCGCGAACGGCCAAAAGGGAATTTTTGTGGGCGGGGAGACGCAGGATCTTTTTATTCATTTTGGGGTAACAATGGGGTAAACATTAATTGTTTTTGAAATGGTTACGTAGTTATTGTTATTTTGAAATACTTCACGGGTTTTTCAAATTTCTGTTAACTTTTAAGCTCTCGGACAAACATTGAGTAAACAATTATATGAACATACGTCAGTGTAAGGGCAAAACCTGTAATTGAAATTAACATCTCCTCAACGCAAGTACATCTTGAAATAGACGTATTTTTGTTCCCTAACGATCTGTTCAAACTGTCTGGCGTTTGACCAGTCAGTGCAAAAACAAACGACCACAGACGCATTGACAAAGTATTATCTCACAAACCTAACAACAAATGCTGCGAATACTATAAGAAAATCCTCTCTTTAAGGCAACAAGTAATCATATTTAAGGCAGGGTTTAGGTTAGGATAAACTTTCACTGCCCGTACAGAAGAGCATCCAATGCTTGCCTTTTATTTAGTACATGTCGTATCCAAACGTTATACATTTATGAGTGAAAGCGTGTGGTAGATTCAGGATAAAATAAAATTCGTATCAAGACAGCAAACGTGCTAACGTTATGTTATTGGCTACTTGATCATATAAGGACTTAGATAAGCTGATAAACCCTACAAGCATAATTATTCTAGAGAGTAATAGTTTGAAAAAAAAGTTCATTTACCCGACTTAAAAGTAAGCACTAAATGAACTATGACGGCAGCTTGTGATATTTCGGTTTTTTAAATCACAAAGTTTACTGCATACATATTACAAAATTATTGAGGTGATTCATAGCAACTAGTGACTAATATCTGTGTTTAAAAAGCTTCTACATAGGCCCTCTTTTACTCTGTTATCTTAATTTTTGACCGTACATTTCTTCAGGATAATGGTCTTGCTGGGAAGTGGACTTTAAATAAGCCACTTTAATTAGGTAACAAGTTAAAAGGAACTGTAGGCAAATATCTTAACTTAGAGATATCCAAAATAATCATCTTGTTCTCACGAATTTAACGGGCTATACCTTCCCAAGAACTTCTGCTTAAAATATCCAATCAACAAATTTTCTAAAACCTTACATACCCCACATTTTGGAATTATTTAAATATGTGTATATTAATATGCTTTGAGATATTTGCAATTATATGTGCACATGGCAAAAGTGAAAAAGTTCATCATAATGATCGTTTACTGACAGGGATTTTTGAACAGTGAAGACGAATTCAGTAGTTGTTGCGCAAGGGATTTAAAGGGTCTACTGCTGATACGTTCCAACTTTTTATTTCAGGGCATACCTTGTCTTTTCCCTGTTTTTTGATCTCCTGCTCTCAACGTTTCTTTAATCACTTCAAAGACAGATCAGAAAACCACGGCCCACTCGAATACGGTTCGTTCGCCTTCCAAATATTTCGAATACGTGTATTGAACTCTGCTAGTTTCAATCCTTGTTAATGATCCAAAAAATCTCATTTTTTGTCGGTCAGCGCGGCCTCAATGAGCTCTATTTGGCTACCCCGCAAGCTCACATCGTCGTTCATGTCTTCTGCAGCTGGATATTCTGTAAACGCACCGAGAAAAAATTAATAAAAGTTGTATGTGATTGGTAAGTTTATACATATATCTATGCACTGACTGACATCTGCTTCCACCAAAGACAGGTTCATATAAAATCAAATCAGAAAAATGCCCAGCGAAAAATAATGAATTTTTTTTCATTTTTGCTTGTTAACTGATTTGTACCGTGAAAATTCATTCAGTTTTACTAGGTACTAGTCAAAACTGCATGTCATGTTTTTTGTATGAAGTTTCCGTATAAAATAAAAAGCGCCCCAAAATTAATTATAGACAATTGCCTTTTTTCTTCCATACAGTCAGGTTTCCGTATTTTGCCTTTGTATAAATGATTCTTTATAATATGCTTTTTCGTGTCATTAACGTCGGGCAAAACTCACCCGGAATGGATCCCCTCGATTCAGCAAGCTGGACGCGCGATGAATCGTCGAAGGAGCCGCGCTTGAAGAGAACTCTCCTGGCACGCGGCAGGGACTGCAGAAGTAACAGTGTGGCCTTGATGGTTGCGATGACCGCCACTCCTACTGAGCGATCGTTCGGAGCAATCAGCGATTCAACCACTATCCACGCGATCATCAAAATCAAACTGCCTAAAGTAGCAGGAAGTCAAACGGAAAAGAGTGCAAGTAAGTGTCTATCGTCCGGGGTTTAACCAAAACCCTGTTTGACAACATTCTTTCTTACAGGAACTGATTCTCACTTAATTCTAAGTTCTCTCTCAGGCAGTGATGAGGTTGCTGGGTTGTGGCGGTTGTTACAACATACCTCGCCCAAATAGGTGTATTTAAGTAACACAGATTCAACTTACCTGCATTCATAAGCTGCAGTGTTATCAACTCGACCAAGGAAACCATGTTCTTCTTTCTCCAGGTTAGAAGAATAGGGAAGAATGCCATGACAATTAGCGCATGCACATACGAAAGGGATGCCGAGATGGATGCACCGTTCGCACACACAGCCGTGACGGAGCCGTTTCCGTTGAAGGCGTTTGGCGCGTCACTCGCCATCAACTCAGGGGGCTGTAAAATGAGCCATTCTGCCACTATCACGACCTCCAGCGCCATCAAGATGAAAAACGCCGCCGCCTGCCCCGAAACGTTCATTAAAGACATTGACATCTTGCCGGAGATCACGTGTACTTGCATGGAGAGCCAACACAACCGCACTGCCATGAGAAATATGGCAATCTGGCAGAACGCAAAAGCGATTCCCGGCCACACTCGCCTGATGCCACAGGTGACAACGCTGGGCGGTGCAGCGTAGATGGGAACCAACAAGTACGCGAGGACAATGCCCACCAAGAGCATGACGCAAAGGAATGGGGACATCGCTTCGGTCACCGGGCGTTTCCAGCGACAAGCATTCATGAAAATCAATGCCAGTGACAGTATGATCCCTATGACAGCGATGATCTGGAGGATTGTGAACCAGCTCGATGTCAGGTTGGACACGCCCACGAGTGGTTGCGTAGTGCCAGACTGTGATTTGGTGGTGGTATGTATTGTCTCCGGGCTTTCAGTTGCCGTGGTGGCTTTGGCTGTCGTAGCACTCTTAGTCGTCATAGTAATTTTGTTGGTGGCAACTGTCGTGCCTCTAGCCGTGCTGGAGACAGGGGTAGTGGTCGGCAAAGAGGGTTGGGGAGATGATCCAGGACATTGGGATGACACAGGAGTTGTGACAGGTTGGCCTTGTGGATTTAACAAGTCTACACGGCCATTCTCTATGGAGATATTTCCTGACATCCAGCTCCCGACCTATAAATAACATTAAAAATACTCTTTAACATACCTGTAAACGTACAAAAATGTAAAGGAAGGCATTCAACATAATTTACATTCCAGGCCCATTTCAAGATTTAAAAGTGTATTTTTTTTAAATTTAACTTATCTTCAGGTCATGTGCCGAAAAGTACATCAACTAGTGCACTGCCATCACAGAGCACGTGAAAAATGAATGCGTATTTACCATGCCAAATTGATTAGAGTTATTAATCTGCTTATAGTTCCATATGATGAATCGTTCCACTGATGCACCATTCTCGAAGTTAACTTTACTTCCATCTTCACCCGTAAATGAAGATTCCTTAATTCCTTGCTGTAGTTCCTCTGCACTCAAGCCGACAAAAGCAGCACACAAGCCCGGGGTGCTTCCACAGCGCCTATCCCTGAGGTCATCCAAGCCGTAAGCTATGGCATAGACAGCATTGATGACGTTGGCTGACAGGGCATAGCTTCCACGAGTAACTTGCAGGGAGGCGTTTTCGAATCGACTGCATTCTTCCGAGAAGTGACCAGCAGGATTCACACTGCAGTTGTACTTGTAACCAATGAATTCTTGGAACCAGGGGTTGCGTTGATTCGAGAGAGCCGTCAGTGAGGAGAAATACTCCTCGAACCCAGGAACGCGTTTGGGTGGACTGGTGATTGAAAGAGCACCCAGATACGAACTGCCAGATAATTCGTTTTCCTCGAGCCCGCTAAATGCGATCACCCATTGGAGATGGCGTGCCCTGTTTTGTCTTTCTACCGCCTCCATAAGTTGTAAGGTGTCTTCCTTATCTGTGAACAGGACGACGACATTCAAATCTGTTGTTTCATAAATGCTTTGCAGAAGAGCTGGTATATCAGCTTGTCCAATGGCTGCCTGTGTCCCAATACAAAGTCCACGACGATCAGCTTCACGGATGAAGGTATCTCTTTCTGTGAGACAACGATAAAGTGTATTTAATCAATGTTAGAAGAAATGTGCACATTTCTGAAATTCTTAAACACACACCCCCCAAATAAAACCTCTGCCGACATTGTCATGAGACAAAACCTTTGAGGTATGTTTTACTTACGTTGCACCCGATACTCTGTCGAGGATGATATCAGAGATGCATACTGCCACTGGAAATACTCTAGCAACTGCATGACAGCCGAAACCTGATTATCGACGGTGGGTCCTACTTGCAAAAGATTACTGAAGTTCTCATCCGTTGTTCCTGCCCCATAGCTCACCTTTGTTTTAAGAAATCCAACGATGCATAGATATGAAAGGGGAGTGTTATTCATCAATAACAATTGAGAAGAAAGTACTCAGTGCATGTGCTTTAGATGTCCGATGATTCAGTTGATCGGACCAAACATTTGTGTAAAGCATAACTCTATGACTGAGCATTAAAGAAAACGACCTGAAAGGACCGATTTACTGTTCAAACATCTAATTAAAAAAAAGTTGGTCTCTTTCATTTGTTTATTTTGTTCAATCGATTTGAATCAAGTGGTATATTACTTATCAACTATACTTTTTTACCAAAAGCTCTAAAGATTTTTGCAGAGAAATAACATACTAATTGGTAAAACACTAACATTATGACGGACGGACTTTCTGGGAAAATGTACTTGACTAAAGTAGCACTCTAAAGGTATGCTTGATTAAATCAGATCTGTGGCTGACCTGTGCATACTTGTACTGCTTGGTAAGCGATGCTGTGGTCAAGGTGACTTGATCGCTTTCACCCCCAACTACGCCACCTATCAACGACCAGACATTGTGGATGCTATCCTCTTGAAGTGAACGAGATCCGCTGAACACAGACGACAAGTCACGCACTCCACGAGACCCTCGAGAGCACGTGTCGAACGCAGTAGCTCCCACCGCCACGCCATTCAGCATCATGGGATCGGCATTGATCCGATCAATAGCATACAACATGGCCTCCAGGTTCACCATGCCGGCATCCCTGAGCTCGCCGCATTCAGCGAGATGGTCCCCTGACGCATGCAGGTCGAACAGGCCCAGGATTTGTATTGGTGCAGGAACCCGCACGTAGGGGTTTTCTTCAACTCTGTTACACTCTGCACAGCGTCCGAGGCACTTGGTTGGACCAACAGATGGCGCTGAATTTAAAGTCAACCTTTCTGGTGTCCAGTTTCCAACCTAAGAATCAAAATACCGTCCATAGCAATCTAAGCAAATTATTCCCAAGATGTTTCATGTAATAACGTGAGATCAAAGGAGTCATCGATGCTTCACAGAAGGAGAAATACAAAGCCTTAGGCTAACATAACACATTCTTCAGAGACGCATCTTGGTATTGCTTCTAAAATATTGAACCATGACAATGTGGCTTCATAGTTTGCGACTGACACTCAGAGGCAACATAGGCAAGAGATGTCCATTCGAGTATCTCTAAAATCAAATGCCCGATTGTTGTCTCAACTTGTTCGTGAAATATGTTGGACTCTGAGATCAACCTTCTTAACGTTGTGTCAGGTATCGGGTGATTTTTTTCAATATAGTTGCTCTCATTCGAGCCTACATTAATTTGTGACAGACACTGGTTGAAAACGGTAACCGGTAATCATGCAGAAAATACCTTCATGTAGGAGTTCCCGACTCCAGTGTCATTCGCTTCAATGTGCAGGACGTCAAAGAAAGGTGCACCGTTGCCGTTTTCGTCCAATTTGAAAACCGATCCGTCAAGCCTTGTTATAGTTGCTTCTCTTACGTAACGATGTAAAATGTCCGGATGAGAAGCAAGGTCATCACAGATATATCTGGGAGGAAAAAGGGTGATTTTTTACGTCTTTGATGATACATAAAAGAAATTCACAAAAAGATTAATTCAACGAGAAATTGATCGCAAATGTCTTTCACACACGATAGATAGTAAGACACGTAAAGAGCAAGCTTAACCAAATAATAATAAAGGAATGTTATGATAAGGTCAAAGTGCGTGGAAATCGAATCAAAAGTCTGAAGTCTAAAAATTCCATTCTTTCAACCAAAGACGAGACAAAAGCAGCGAGAAGGGTGATGGGGTGATATTAACTGTTGACTTTTTTAAAGAAAGTGACAAAGGAATGCATAAAGATTGGTCCCTTACCTCGTTATTTCGGGACATATTTCTTGCATAGCGTTATGCAGACCAGTTGCAAAAAGTTGCACAGCATCTATGATGTACGCAACTTCCGTTTCCTGCATATAGACAGATTCCAAATTTAGCTGCCAAGGACAAGACACATTGTACCTAGTGGAACCAAAGGTGTTGCACTGGAATGTGTCCTCCCAGTACGTTATCCACCACGGATTGCGGCGGTTCGCGTACACCTGCAGCCGTATGATGTAGTCCTTGAAGGCTTGTATCATCGGAGCTTTTTGGAACCTCAACGTAAGTGCTCCACGGGAGGTTACCTGCGCATGCTCTATGACGTAATCACGGTCACCCCATGCGTCCGTTCCAATCCACTGGAGGTCTGTCACACTAATTCGCTCGGCTGCCTCTAGAACACGTCTGGTGTCTATATCTGACGTCAGTAAAAGCACTGTTTGGGCATAGGGATTGGTTTGAAGCTGGCGGACAATCATCTCATAGTCTCTGCTGGTGTACGTTGGTAGTAACCGAAGACTCATCGCCACGCAAACCGAGGTCCTCGCCAAGTTCTGTTGGACTCCCTTCCAGAGGTCGGTACCGTACAAATTGTCTGAATACACCACCGACACATACTGCCAGTTCGCGGCTTGAAGCAAGTCCACGATGGCCCGGGCCTGCATGTTGTCAGACGGCACCGTCCGGAGGAAGTAGGGAAACTTGCCGGAATTATCCAGTTCAGACGTTGTTGCGGAGTAGCTGACTTGATTTATACCAAGTGGCGTTAAGGCTTCTGCAACTGTGACTGTCGTGTCGCTGGTCTGACCCCCTATGATTCCAACAACCTGCAGATGGTAATATGTATCGAAGGGGGTTAAAGCATATTGTAAAATTTGTTTTTGTTTATGAGTCTCTGTGGCTTTGTTGATTTTTGGTAATGTGAAATAGTTTTATAGTTTATTTTATGACCTACTTACACGATATTTTCTCGTCTTCAAATACATTTAAACACACATTTAAAATTTTCTTACCGAAGCACGTGTCTGAAGATATCCGGATCGGTAATCCACAGCCCCACTCACGAAATTAAGCACCTCCCTTCGAGCCCTATCTGCGCTGCCGCAGCTGTCAAAACCGATGGCACCCAATTTCAGTTCCGGCAGAATAGCAGAGTTCAGGTTAACTTGCTCGACGGCAAACAGGAATGCCTCCAGCAACTGGACATTGTAAGGAATGAGCTGGTCTTTGCACTGTAGGTTATCACTTGTTGGTTCGTGGAGCTCAAACAGTCCTGGGAAGGAATAACAAAAGCGATGGGAGACCTCCTCTAGACGCTTCAGGTGGCACCAAACACATGCTGGTCCTTTCTACCAGTTCTGAGCATGCGTGAATAGTTCTGAGCACGCGCAATACTATGAAAAAGGACCAGTTTGTCTGCTGCCACCAGCGTTTCAAAGTCACTCATTCCGAAGATGTGTATGTGTTGGCACTTAAATTTACATTTACAAGCCAAAACATGGCTTGCCAGTGTGGCGTGAGATAACCTTCAGAATATTTATAAATACAAGTATTTGGAAACGTCATTACCTCCGATCCATACATCTCCCCCAGAAACCTCGGCTGTTTGCACCCTCTCGTTCGTTTTACAGTCATCACATCGACCTTCACAAACAGACTTTGCATCAGCAACTTCAACAAAGGTGTCGTTGACCTTGGTGTACAAAGTGATGTCAGTTCCATCCACCGCTCGGAAGTTATAGTTCTGGTAAACACCAACCTGTACAGAGATGCCGTTACAAAATTCGAATTAAAAGACTGGTTTCCAGAGGCATGCAAAATAAACACCTTTAAATCGTCATGTGCATGTGTATGTTACCACGAGGAACTACCCGCATGCATATTTTGTATTTTCTGTGATACGTGAAAATGAGCAAAGTTGGGGTGCAACAACCAATGACATAGGCTTCTTTACGCATTATCGCACTCGTCGGCTGCTAGATTAGCAGACAAAAGACATTATTCATGGTTCAAAGCAATTTTTCATGAAATAATTATTTAAGTGTTCCAGGGCAAGTATAGCAGAACTTAGGTGAGTATAGCCGATATTTACCTTCACATCTATTAAGGTTCCATCGGGCATCGTCTGCACGTTGTATATTTCATAGTCAGGTGCAACATCGCCATATATGTTCATTGCAACGATGTAACCATCATTTACACTTGTAAATCGGTTGGTAAATGGTACAGTCAAGAGTTGAAAGAGTTCTTCCCCTGTGGCTGTGATCATTGCAGGACAGACATGAAGCTCCCCTGGACAGTAACGAGCGTGAAGGTCTGATATGGCACGAGCCATGGCGTACACAGCATCCACTGTCTGCGCAATGCGCATGTCCTCACCATCGTCAGGTGTTAGAGATTCAAACCCTGTCAAGAAATACACCATACCAGCTATTGTACCTTGAATACCATGATTTCACTAATATTGGACAGTCAGCTAACTTAGTTAAGTTGACACGCGAATCTGCTCAAGTCTTTCTTCCATCATTCATGTTCGTTGCGTTCAGTTTAATTTGTAAACATTCAAATTTGTACAATGTATTTGAATTATAGATGTTGTGCTTTTGAATCAAGTAGTGCCCAATCGTTATTCAGCTTGACGCATCTCAACTTATTGAGGTTTCCTTTCCGTTAATGTGCCAATCAGTTTGACCACTTGACACAGTCAAAATTATTAATTCCATAAAGTTTTAAATGCGCGAATAATGCAGCGCTGCAACACGCGCTCAACTGCGCAAGTTGGCATGGCTCACACGCTTCGTTGCCACGTCAATGGGCTTTGTGAGCATTAATTAGCAGGCGAGTCCGACCTTAGTTTCCATACTTACCTGAACAATCTTCGGCGTAAGCAGACTGCGTTCCTGGGTAGTTACACTGGAACCTATCGGCCCAATATTCAGCGAACCATGGGTTGCGTAGGTTTGTTCCCGGCTTCAGTCTTGAAAAATATTCCTTGAATTCTGGATAACTTCGTTTGCCCTCTGATAAGAATGTTATCCCTTATAGCAGAAATGCGAAAGAAAAAAGTCTAATCAGTGTTCGTTTATTCACGTGAGGAGATGGATGTTATGTACTGAGCCAACGTTTAGAACGGAGCTTCAACTTAGACGTAATAGTGGTAACTTGCAAATTTCATCTAGCTCATCAGAGGTATAATGTATATCATCACACGAAAAATTTCGTCAAATCAACAAAATTGCAAAAAAAAAATGAGTAAAACTGCAAAAGCCCTTAAAAATTATTTTTGATTATATCCCAACTATTTAAGAATTTGATTTCTTAATTTCATTCCAAATTTTTCGTCTAATACGTGGTAGTCCCTAATTTTCTATATTCCGTCTCAACGATCCTTATCGATTATAACATATTGCAATTGAAATTAAATTATTGTGATAGCTATGATTATATCTAATTTGTGTATCCAATACTTGGATTTTAATTTTTATCGATCCGTGTAAATGGAATTTAATTGCATTAGAATTACCTGGTGCAATTGCAGCGAAATCTGACTGCAGACTCAAGTCAGTCGACCATTCGCTGGCTAAAATCAAGTAAAACTGGTCGAAAAGATTACGCCTTTGAAATTCCCCGAGGATGACACGCATATCAGCGTTGGTAGCAGTAATGACGACAACTTTGGCTGAAGAGCGAGTCAGCAAATTTTGGAAAACCTCGTCCATTTGATCCCTGTTGTCAGCTGGTGGAATGATTTGAGAAGTTGTCAAACAGACGCCAATCTGAAATAAAAGGAAGCACAACACGATGTCAGTCGTGTGCTTTGGTAACTTAGTTCGTCTCCTAAAGCCAGTCAAAGCAATTAAGCTAATTCGCAGAGAGAGAGAGAGAGAGAGTGTGTGAGACTGAAAGACATGCTCCAGTTTAAGAGCTCTAGTTTACGAGGACTAACCCTGGTGCCGGTTTGCTGTAAAACAGCTGACAAGAGACGTCCCGAGGCTGTGTTACTGTTGAGCGCCTGCGCATACCTCCAGCCTTTGGCTAACATTGCCTGGAGCAGAGCGTAACCAGCCGTCGAATCGGGGAAAACTGTGCGCGCAAAATTCGTGTACACGGCCGAGTTGCTCAGGGTTTGAGCCGTTGCTGCGTAGGATATCATCGGCGTGTCATAAACCTGTTAAATGAAATGAACCTGTTCTTTATCAATTGTGTATAGAGTGCAAACACTGAGGTGTAAAGGGTTTATAACATATCCTTGATACCCACGTGGATATCCGTTTCTAGATATGGTTTTTGCAGGTCATTACAAATTTTTAGAAACTGGCCCTTAACAGTTACTGGAATTACCCCTAGAACTGTGGGGCCTGACGTCGACCCCTGCTCCGGGCGGACGTCTGGCCCAACGATTCTGGGGGTACTTGTAAAATATGAAGTATTTATGCAAGTTGGAAGAGAAATCATTTAGAAATGAACAACTCACATTGAGAACCCCATTCACTAACTGGCACTCCTCGTCACCATTCGGGCCAATGATACCATACACGTGCTCAAGCAGTCCACCCGGCTTAGGCCTCTGGCCCGAGCCGCTCTGTCCGAACTGACTCTGGCTGACCAACTGAAGGGCCTGGTGACCGGCTCGATCCGGATGTCCACAGGTGTCAAAGCCATCCATGCCCAGCTTGATGCCCGGCAGAATCGTGGTGTCGTTGTTGATCTTGTCCAGTGCGTACATCATGGCTTCCAGTCGCCTGACGCCGGATTTGTCCATAGCCCCGCACGAGGACTGACTGTCGTTCCAGTTGTGGACGGAGAAAAAGCCCCCGAGAATGACATCTCCGGGAATATAAACCTGTTGAGGAAATTAGAATCTATTGTCTATGGTGAACTGTACACGACACACCTCTTCGCCTCTTCCATAGGGGTCGTACAGTTGCGTTGACTATAATGGTGGACAGAAGTGTCGTAAGTACACTATGACTTATTACGTCAGTTATTCATAATTGGATTAAATCAACCACAAAAAAATGCTCTGAAATAGCCAGAAACAGTCCTCATTAAGAAAACTGGACGTGTTGTGTTTATTCTAATGAACACTTAACAGCTCATATGAAGTTATGCCCCAAGATGGTAGATGAATTAGGGTAAATCACTTTGTAATACATGCACGTTATAACTCAGATGTCAGCAAATACACCTTTAAAACCTACTTTGGGAAGAATTGCCAACGTGTTGTACGTGACTTGGTTGAACTGGTACCGCAAATCGTTTCATGGACTGCGGGCAACTAGTGCCTGTTTCTAAGGAAACGAGAAACCCTACGCATGTGACGTCACTTCGGTTTAAACCACGCCCACTGCATACAAGTTACCTGGAATCAATTAATCGGAGTTAACGAGCAACGTGATGAGTGTTCACCCAATGGCCGTGGGAGCTTGTAATCAGTGGTGCGTGCGCCGCCCGTGTATGACGGGGAAGTTATCACGAACCGGTTAAGAAATGGTATGGTACGGTGTGCTTGGGACTTACCATAGGTCCACTCGTGTCTCCGCAGGCGAGATCCACACACGGGGGGTTGCACTCCGACCGAACTGGGCTCACACCTCCGCTGCTCACCAGCTCAAGTTGGCTGACATTTAAGCTGAGCTCGCCTCTCTCGAAAGAACCAAGCTGCAGGCAGACATGGTCAAATTGTAAGGTTTAGTGAAATGGCTGGTCCAATGACAGGCTCATAAACGCTTGAATCTGGCGTTTGTAATTGAAAGAGCTTGCGGCGGCTATTTCAGACCGCTACAAATAGCTATCTCACAGATTCATACGTGCATTCTAGGTATTTTCCTAACTTTCTGGTCATTAGAATTTGGTGGGAAAGAATACGAACAAGTTCCATCCCAGCATGGTAGCACAATAATGGTTGGCGGTCCTAGATTTCTATTGGGTGCATGGCGCCCGCGCACAAGATCGCACATCCAATGAAAATTGGTTGCAAGCTGTATTGGTGCTTTGCACTGAATGCGCACAAACTTATACACTACAGTTTTCCTATGACTTTCGTGCCGCACGAGCGAATTACAATTCCATGGTACGGATTAGCAAAAGAGAGTGGCAAAATTATCCACTTTGTAGCAACAATGGAGCTTTGTAGGTTGGTTATTTTTGTGTAAAATATTTGCTATGTCTGACACAATGACCAGTGGATTTGTGAGCTGGTAGATCGATAGGTGAACAGCTTACTTGATCATAATGACCGGCTAATAAGGTTAACTTACTGGTTCCAGTTGGAAGTTTCCGGCACCATTCATTTTGTAGTTGACTATGTCCAGTCTATTGTAGTAAGTGTCTCCAGATTGGTGAAATGCAAAATGCTGGCCGTTATCTTTTGTGAAATTGACATTTCTGGAAGAATTGACAAAAGCTGTGTGAATATATTTGTTTTTTTTACCCCTTTCAACCTCGAACGCAGTTTTTTTTTCAAGAGTGAAATTCATTTTCTTTGACAAATTATTTTTGGCATGTGTAGAATCCTGTTCAATTTGTTCAGCTCAGGATGATGTAGGCTATTCGCACATTCTTGGAAACAAGCCATCAAGAGAGACTTGAGAGATGTTGGTAATTTTATGCATATTCTCGACGTACCAGACATTTTGCACCAGGAATGGTTTCAGCTATAGCGTTGCACCATTATGACGGGGCAATTCGACAAAAACTTCCCTTTTTAAAATCTACTCACTTGATGAGCGACAACCATTGTTGGCTTTGATCAGAATCACACGAGCCCGACTGACCAATCACTGAGCAGCTCACGTTGTAGAAAGTTTGAATGTTCGTTGTAAATGCCAGGACTGCGTCGATAACACTCGGCACGTAGGGGTGACGTACGTAACTGTGCTCGTGTAGAATTGTTTGGATGCTTGAGCAGTTCTGACTGTAAGATCCTGTGAACAAGCGAGCAAGAAACCATTAAATCAAACCAAAAAAGGACAATTATTCCAAAAGCAAGGGAGGACTAGATGTCAGTTCCTTGCTAGAGAAATTTTATTGACACTGTCAACAAAGAAAACGTTAGGTGGTCATTGGTTATGTGTCACCATGTCAAAGAGCTTCGTTATTACTACCGTTAAGGGGTGTATTCTTGTTGATTGTGTTCGGGCGATAAGCTGCCTTCACTTGCCCCCATGAGATTTTCACATGTACAAAGGTTCCCAAGATCCATTTGTGCATTAACTGATTCGTTTTTTTATGCTTTAGAAAAAAAATGAAATATTGTTTTTACCGTATGGGCTTGCTGTCGAACTCTATCTAACGACTCTATTTTAAAGAAATTAGAAAAATGATCCCTAAAATGAACTACTGAAATAATACGGCCGTTTCACAATAGGGCGCCTCCAAGAGTTTGCCACGCGTTGGCCAATCACAACGCTCGAAATTTGTCAACCCTTTTTAAACGCACATTGAGTCGACAACTTTCGCGCATTGTGATTGGCCAACGCGTGGCAAACTCTTGGTGGCGCACTATTGTGAAACGGCCGTATTGGGAGAGTAGTAATGGAATATTTGGAAGCACTTGTTTAAAATCACATATTCCTTTACAAAGTTGTCTCAGCCAGGTCAGAATAGGATAACATGTAGGCAAAAAATATCGTCAAGAATGCTACATACCTGATCCAGGGAGATTGCACCGATATTTCCTTTGCCAGTAATCCCTAAACCATGGATTGCGAACTGGGTCAACTGTGTCCGGGGTTAGATTTCTGAAGTAGGCATCGAATTCGTCCGTTGGTGGTGAGGGTAACCTGAATCCAAGCGCTCCGGGCAGAGCAGAAGCACCCGATACGGGGGCAAGCGTGGCCCTGTGGCCGAGAACGAACTGTAGAGCAGAGGCCGAGTTTTCCGCTCTTAGTACCGCAGCGGCCAATTTCTCCGTCCTGGAGGAGAAGACGACGGCCACGCGCGCGTACGCGTTGCTGGTGATGCCGCTGAGGAGTTGATCCATGTCTTCATTGGAAGAATTCGAAGAGAATTGTTGGGGTGATGTTATGCATATTGAATGTCGATTGGCTGCTCGCTGGAATGATCGTAATGCCGCTTGATCCTCCACAGTGTCGAGGGTGATGGTTGTCACGTAGTTCCAGTTCATTCTCTGAAGCAGCAGAACTAGTCCCTGAATAGAAAGAAAAGTCACTCTCAACACCACTTCATCATAAAAAGTATGACAGGTGGCACAACCAGTAGCCCGTTGATTTCCAACACGAATCACATCTTTTAATGACTCATTTACTTCCATATCGATGGTTGTGGTTGAAGTTTAAAATAGTATCTATTGGTGTTTTTTTGGGGTTTTTTTGGTCATCTAGCATCGTCCAAGAACCATTGTGATCTTTTTCCAACGTTTACACACATTTTCATACGATTCGACTTGGCCTAAGCATCAGAACAACCTTTACTGAATAGTTATCGCTAGTTTTCAATTTGCGATGAAGGAAAAGGTTTTAATAGTTTGGTAAGGGCAAATTATATATATATATATATAAATTTTCAAGTGCTACACAGATTTCACATTCATGTTCAGAGTCGGTTGTCATGGTTGTGAAGAGGTTTGGGTACGAGAGGTGAGAACGGACGATATTTTCACGCACGTATTTTCGTGTTTCCTTGAACTTCGGGATTGAGTTCTGCTGTCTTCTTCTCCTCGTTCTTCTTTTAACAGGTTCGCAATGCCACGTTCTACTTTAGAAGAGCACCCGGTTTACGAACTCTGCAAATGCACACACTAGACTGGGCTTTCAAGAATATTATTACCCTGCAACCGGACTAAGAGATGGCGCAATCTACCTACAACTAGAAAGGCTCCTTTGGTGGGAACGGCACTTTGCTGGTTCGTGAACGACTATGAAATGCACGCGTCACGGTCGCAACGCTGCCAACAAAATGAACACTACCCATAAACATGGCTCTTTTCAAAGGATGAGGACGGGCTTCTGCTCGAGGCGGATTATAGAACAAAACTGACCACTGACTGGAAGTCGTCGTTGGGTATGGTGCGCAAGAAGTAAGGGAACTGGCCGTCTTCGGTCAAGGATGGTTGGGAGGCACCAAAGCTGATCACAGGAACTCTGGCTTCATTCATCAACCAAGAAACAGTTTCGCCTGTAATAACGTGAAAAAATGTCGCTTGAGGTAAAAAACACAGCTTAGTTGAGCTAGAGATTGTAAGGAACGGCGACTATAGGCACATTTTTTTATAGAGTTGTCAGGGAAATAAAATGGGCAAATTAGTTCCACCTGAACTTGACTTGCTCAGATATGCCAAGCATGCATTTAAAAAAAAAGGAATGCAGAGTGCGTAATCACATCGATACTGAAACCTGCAGGAACTTACACGTTTCGATATTGTCAATAAGTGCTCAAATTCTGCAGTGAATTTTCATTGTTTTGTTTAACCTTGTTTGGGCAAAAGATAAAGCGTTTTCACAAAGGCTCTCCGCGTGCACGGACGTCAACCGAAATAGCATGAATCACAGCACAACCTGGTACTACATTGTACAGGCGTAGGGACCTATGTGCATTGCGTAAGAGGTCTATCGCTTATTTTTTTCTTTCAAGTTCTATAAACAACTTCCAAATTCTCTGACCTTCAGACAAATGCACTTGAAGGCCTGATGACATCACTTCAGGCGAATGCAAACTTGCAAGTAAAACAAATCTGGCGTCAAGAAACGTTTACGAGAAATTCACTCGAGTCGAAATGTGCTCAACATTTGCAAGTTTCCTGCATGAAAATTTGATCTGCCGTCAGAACTTTGTCTTTGCTTTCCCGGAAAGTCTGAACCAGCCGTTATGCATAACACAAGGAACATAAAGTCACATGCTCTCAGCGCCTTGATGTGTAATGTCATTGCTCGGCAATGTGCATTTTAAACCCTTTTACAGACTTGTTTGTGCTAGAGACAACCACAAAACAACGACTGCAGACACACAACTTTTAAGAGTTGTCTGGAGTATGATTGGCAAATTAGGTCCACCTGAATTTGACTTGCGCAGACATGCAAAACTTGCATTAAAAAGATAATGCCGAGTACGTGGTCTCATCCGCACTGAAACCTGCAAGAGCTATTTCCATTTTTCAGCAAGAGCTTTTCATTGTATTATCTGACCTTGCTTGGGAGAATCGTTTCGGCTTTCCGCATGGCCGCCTTAACAAAACTACAGGACTCCTGGCACAAGTTGGCACTGCATCGTACGATGTAGAGACCTATGTGCATTGTGTGGTAGGTCTACACGTTTCAAGTTAAAGTTTGGTTAAACGAAAGTCAAAGTTGATAACGTACATAATTATGTTCCATAGAACTTGGTCTCATGCAAACAGCACGGTTAATAATGGAAATTTACTCTACATTCTTTTGTTCGATGCTTATGGAAACAGTCTGGGAAACATAATTTCCAGTCAGAAGATTTCCACACTTGCAACGGCGAGACAGACGAGCTTATCTCTTTGATATCGTCTGACACCATGACAAAGTGCACTGTTTGTATATGTAGAAGTCTTTTACCAACGGATAGACTTCAAATACATGAAAAAGCAACAGAACAAATTTGTAAACAGACTTTTCAAAACAGACGCAAGCAGAGGGGTGTGTCCAAGGATTTCATGAAAGCTTACAGCTGAATTTTTCTTAATGTTGCAAGTTGCCAAGAGATTTCCGCACAGCTTACAGCCCGCTTTGATCCAATGAAATAAGAGGAACCAATGCTGACAACCTGCCAACGGCGCTGTAACAATTGCTGATTGGTCAGTTGTTGGTTCCAATAGAAGGCCTAGTGCTCAGGCAGTGCAAAAATGTCACGATGATAAATGAGATCTACAGCGTTTAAAAGCAAAGCCTTTGTCAGAATATCCACAGCAGAGCTTAACACACACGTTACTGGAACAACAAAGAACAAGCCCTGACCTGACTGCACATACCTTGACCCCCATTTTCCAATCCCGCGACAATGCCAGGCTTGGAGACAGTGGAAGAACATGGATCCGTCAAAGTATCTTGATTCGAGTCATCAAATTGATCTGCAAGGTAAGCCATTGAAGCCTCCACTGCCGCATGACTGGATGAACACGTATCCCACGAATCCAAACCTAGAGAATGGACAAAATGCAAATTGGTCGGTGATGTCCTACGTGGCTACAAGTAAGTAACTAATTACCTTAAGTTCTATCCTGCCTCCAAACGCGACAGAGCCACCGTCTTTCTGCCCCTGACTAAGCTGACATCATCGTTCAGTAAGTTGCAACTACCAGACTTACGAGGTCCATGAACTGAACATGGACATGTACACACATACGAAGGTTGGGCAATCAGTACTATCATCTTTCGAATGTTTGCCTCGTTGTTAAAATCGCTCATCGATTCTGTGCAAAACTGTCGGCATACAAACATATTCTTACGTCAGAGATCATACCGCAAGAGAACAGAAGATGACCGTCAGAATTTTTTTTTATGCACTCGGAAAACAGGTTGAAGGTCCTGTCAGCGCAGAGTTACGGGAATAATGAGGGTACACCTTGACCAACCAGAGAGACCTCTTTGTGGTGAACCTCGCAGAAGTCCTTCTTTTATTCCAACGCACCGATAAAAGTCTCTCAGTGACGATCGCCAATCAAACTCGCTACTCAATAACGCAGTACTAGAAACAATTTCCATATGTTTACTGGACGAAACTTCGCTCCCAAACCAAGTTTAATTCACGCTTGATTTACGATTGATAAAGGATCATAAGTGAAGAAAGTCACCGCTCACTGTTTTATCGTTCAAGCATGATCAAGTTACCTTTAACCTACTCCAGGTAAATGCATAAAACCTTCAAATAAGAGAGGATTAGGCCTACGCAATATATGTGAAATGAATGAAATCCGAACTTTGATTTTAACATGTAATGATATATAGCATGGGAAATTTATGTTCGAATTAGTTCAAAACTTGTCAGAGAAACTTCGTTTCACATTTAATACTTCCAAATGTCTACGTAGGATAAAGGACGCCAAATAGCGGTACATACCAAAGGCTATACCTGGAACCCCTGCTCGTTGCAATATCATGGACGCAGCCTCTATAAGCTGAATATTCTCCAAATTGGGCACATCGTTGTTACATTTCTGTGTGGCGGGATCGTATCCACGGTACGAAAACAGGAAGCCCAGTGTCACATTGCCAGCGAGATGGCCACGCTGTGAAGCATAGCACGATTGAGCGGCACTCGAACCAATGGTGTATCCAACAAGGACTAGAAGATGGAAAACTTGAAGTTTGTACCTTACCATGGTGGGCTTTCTCGTCTACCTAGGTGCAAAATGGAAAATTAGAAAGCTGGTTATGCGATCGTCAGGTGCATGTCTTTAAAGTGTGTGTAGTAACGCCTGCAAACATGTTCATGAATATGAGGTGCGAGGTTACAGGTAATAGGGGAAATACACCAACTAACAGACGAAAATACGAACCTTTAAGAGCAGAGCGGTGTTAATTCACGCACACGCCACGTACGTGTTGTGTGTGACGGTGCCAGAAGCATGTGGAGATTGGTGTACGTACGGTACAAAACTTCTGAATACTATGACCTTGCTGTGAAGACTGGGGTCTTACGTACACTGCGCTTGTCCTTGTTTTTTTTTTTCTTTTCTTTTCTTTTCTTTCTTTTTTGGGGGGGGGTATTGTGGGCTCACTGTATGACAATAAAAACCATTGAAAGAGCTTTTGTTGTGCCACTGGGCTAAGTCAAACGGCAAGTTCAAAATATAAAAGACTGCTTTTCAAATGACTCAGCTATATTTAGCTTAGGTACACCAAAGGTTGCATTCAAGTTGTGGATTGGATTTAGTGCGACGCGGTGGACCAGTTTGTTTACGGGAAAATAATATTGCATAAAGTTGTCCCCACTGGACACTATCCTTAAAGAATGCAAGTCATCGTTTCATCTATGAAACATTACTTAAAACGGCTTTATACCTAAAACTGTTTCTTTATTGACACACACAAAACAACCAAACTCAACTTTCTTCTTTTCTATATAAATAGCGATTTCCCCCCCTTTTTTGCTCTTTAGTAAAACTGTCAGCATATATAGATTATTGGGGTTATTTCGAAATTTACATTACTCTGCTGTTGACCCTGTAGGCCTACATCATGATCATTTCAGTTCAGAACAAAGGAACCTATATCTCAGTGTCTTAATTATGCCACTCCACTGGAAGAAACTTGAGAGAGCATAGTCTCATGTCTCAGGAGAACCTCCCCCGCGCCCCCCTCCCCCGGATAAGCTGTCTGAAAACCAGTGTTAAAAAAGTTAACTCCACCCCCTAAGAAACGCCTTGAGGGCGGGGGGGGGGTAGCCCTGCAATAGTCAAACCATATGGAATGCAGTCATAAATGAACGAGCGCACCTGCATGAAGGCCGTTGTTGTTAGTTACGTCAATGGATAAACACTTAGGCCCTAAAGCCTTGAGCCGGGTGTCTTTTCAGCTGTTTTTTCTCTCATCGATTTCCTTAAGTCACAAGCCAATGCAAATGGTAAAACTTCCGTATTGGCTACTTTCAGCTAGGATATACCTCAATCACACAACAAAAATGCCTGGATAAACCAGATCAGTTTGTATTATATACTGGTAAGAGGCCATTCCAGATTTTCGATGTTTTAAATTTCGATTTTTCATCGAAATTGTTTTGACCCACCCCGTGACCCAACTCTAATTTCGATTTTAAAAAAATCCTGGCTTTGTTCAAGAGGCCAGCGACGGACAAACAGAAAATCGGGTTTCACTGAACCGCCGAATATACGTGCACTTAGGCCTCGACATAATTATATGAAATTGAAAACTACCAATGCGTGAAGAACAATCTCATTGTGTGAACTAACTTGCAAAAATATTTCAGAAGTTTTATCCTTTTGTGTTTTCGGGTGTCGAGACTCGGGATGTATATCCTGTTGTCCTGGGGGTCACTCAGGCTCCCGTCCATTCCATATCGTTCCCCCTCCCTGGAGGAAGGAACTGTGCATGCTTCTCGTGTGCTACCACCACACAAATACAGGCGATTCACGAAACGTACGGATCGCTAGCGCAGCGTGGTAATTCACGCGAGTCAAAAGATCGATTTGATTTTCTCTCTCTTTTTTTTATGAAAAGTGAATTTCGATTTACAACAATTTACCTTGATCCGCCCACCCACTTCTTCGAAAAAAAAATCGAAGTTAAAAAACATCGACAATTTTGAATGGCCCATTTGATAACATTGCTATGACTGAACTAGTTTATTGGCAAAATCATCTGAAAAATATGCCTGCGACTAGATACTAAAACGTGCGTCTATGGAAGCTACTGTCTCAGCTTCAACTACTTCCCGTAGGCGTTTGTGTTGCTCTTCGACAAGTCACTTCATTCACAGTGCTTTCCACCAAATCGTTGTATTTCTGCGCGAGAGATCATTAATATTTTGTGATCCCATAGGATTTTTACAATAAGACAGGCCATCATCAGGAGCGATCATAGAAAAATTTCTATAAATCCCGAATTTGGGACTGATAGTTTCCAGTTTGGGGTGTTTCTTTAACAAAAAGTCCAAAATTGCGGGCCTGTTTTGGATCATGGAGGTGTGTTCCTTCCTCCGTGTTTGGATAGAGGCGAGCGGCTACATTCAGAAATGACTGCTTAGTTTTACTGCTATTTTTTAGATATCTTCGGGGAAAGGCGAATGAAATTTTTTTTCGTGGCTAACCCCAATAAAATTGAAACGAAAAGTGATCTTCTGGCCATAATCTTGAACTGAATTTCCAGTGAAAAAACGGAGGCCAACCTCTTCACGAGAGTCAACAGGCGGCGCTGTTTCTGGCCGATCAGTGATTTTGCGCTGTTTTCGCTTACAGCGCCTATGGGTCGGGTGCAGACCACTAATTTAAGTGAGAATTTTTGACCAGCTCATTAGCATTAAAAGTGTCCCCCAGTATCTTTGGAAAAAGGAGATTGTTTGGCCACCAAAATGGTGAGATTGTGTAAATCGTTGCCAGGATCAACTCCCTGGGTCTTTGAGTTTTCATATGAGANAAATCTCAGGGATGTTGGCGTGCATGCTATGGGGCCCTGAACGGTGCTTATTTTACACTGTTTTCAATGGGGCTTGAATTAGTGGACTGGACCCCTATAGCATACGTGTCCAACGCATGCGCAAAGTCGGTGTCAGTGCATTGTGGGAAAGCCGCCTTTGCCACGTTGATATCGTTGGCGCTACAGAAATCCCACACAAATCGTCAGATTTTTAACTTTCAAATGTTCAGATTGTTGCAGAGTCAGAACCTCTTACAACCGTCACATCTTCTCGAGGAACTAGTGTGTTCACTTTAATTTTTGTCACAGTTTGGACGATTTTGAAGGGTGAGTATGTTTGCCATAATTTTTGGTCGTTCCAAAATTTGTCACGCACTGTTACTCAGCATGCTCAGCGCATGCAGCGTAGGCTACATCCTTGCCTTCCCCCTTTGGATTCCGTCATGTTCATGATGCTGAAGTCATAACCAGATAACTGATCATGGAATCGACTTGTTGCCACGGTGTACGATGTAGCCTACTAAATTAGTACTGCAGTACGGCAGTAGGGCCCAGCAGAGAGTCACAGGCACAGCAGGGCAACATTGAACATGGACAGTGAATGATGTACAGTACATGGTTTCCCGTGGACATGATCATGATCGATGATGGAGGAAGGAAAGACAGGGCGGTGTTCATTACCATTAGTCATTAGCACCCTGTTCCTATAATAAGGAAACAAAGTCTGCCTTTTCAAAAAAACTTAGACCTATTTAAATAAGTTGGTGGAAATGTCCTCTTTCACATCAGACAGAAGAAAGGGAAGGACTTCGGTTTTTGAGGGAAATTATGGGGTATAATGGCAGCGTAAATGACACAACGAAGAACTTTGAATGAAGATGAATTTAGCGCATGTAGTCTGGTTCCTTGACCGGGATGAAGTTTCTTTTATGAAATTCAGTATATCCACAATGGCTGGGTCAGGTAACCAGACGTGAAAGAAAATAGCCCCATCTTTTAGCAAACTCGGGGTAAAAAAAGTCTGGTTGTCTTGCCTAAATATTGTCAAAATTTACCTAAACTGGAGCTACTAGGAGAAAGGAATAGATTCTCAAGGTCTGAATGTTAACTAGTATGAAAAAGTGGACTTTGTTTTCCTCATTATAGCAACAGGGTGCTAAAGGTAATTTCATTCATTCTTTATTTCCACTTAATTATATACGGTAAATGTATGACAAGAAGGAAAATGGTTGTGGATGGGATCCCATAGAAGCAGTGCTTGTCGAGTATTAGGAACAATACACAATATTACGAACAATACAATAATTATGACAAACAATTAAACAAATAAGAAGACAGTAGGACACGTAGACACGAAACCTTGTAATGAACACCAGCAGAGTGACATGTGTAACAGTTAATGTCTACACTTAACCATTTTCAAGGTGTTTACGTCTTGGAGATGGGCCTATGGTACTCGTGATAGTGTAGTGCACCTCTGGGTTTTAATTTCAACTTTACGAACACACTGTCTTCTGACCGTCATGGCCAGCTAGTAGGCCTAGGTCACAAGTTCAAATTTGCCAAGTCATAAATTGCAAAATTTTGTTCTTGTTTGCTGAGGTCAACTTCAAGATGCCATAGGGAAAGAGTTCCATGTACAGATGCCAGTAATTATTCCCTACAGTGACCCATTAGCCATCAGAAAGCAAAAAAATGTCCATGGGCCCGGCATAATGTGCTGCAACCCAGCTTACATGGGCTTAGACTGTGCCCAAAATGGGCCTGCTTTTTTTTTTCTCCAGAAGCCACCTGTGAACCAATACCATATAATTGCTAAATCTCCCTCTCCTGACATGTTGGACTTAGTGCAAATCTGCACGTTAGCATGGTTAGCCAAACAGATGGCAGCTGTGCATTATTTAATATACTGTGTTCCCTGCATATGTTGAGATCTTGTCCATTCCTGCACTTGATTGTGCCATAAAAGGATAGAGCATTTTGAGGAAAAAACTTCTTTTCATTTCTCATCTCGGTATCGGCAGATTCTACAATGAAAGTGAAGGAGATCAACCGGACTGCCAACATGGCCTGGAGTCCGGCCGAGCAGTACCCAGTCTACGTAGCTGCAGGGACGGCAGCCCAGCAGCTGGACGCCACGTTCAGCACCAGTGCCGCCCTGGAGATCTACGCTCTGGACCTGACAGACCCCTCAGTGGACATGCAGCTTAAGTCCACACTCAGCACAGAGCACAGGTACAAAAAGTGTGCGTGAATTATGGAGCTCCGTTTGCCTCAGTCCTTCCAACTCCAACAGCCATTCCCCCTGATATGTTGGGCCTATGCGAGTGATAGCTTGGAGCAATGTTGATGACTTGAAGTGTAATCTAGGCTTAAATTTACGCATGCCCAGACACAAGCATCACGGGGTCTAACCACAACGTTGAGACACAGCAGCCTTCAAAATCACCAATTGCCACACAGCCTCAATCCTCCAAAATCTCCTTTCATCACCTGAAGGATTTGGGGGCAATGTGGAGGTTCAGCGGCAACGAAAAGACAGTGAATTGGTTAGAGATTACGCCGATTCTTGTGTGGCTGCAGGAATTAATGTGAAAGAATGAAACTGGTTAGCATTTGTTTTTATAGTTTAATCACTGTAACCTTTCATCGTCGTCTTACAGTGTCTAACTGTCCATTGCCCCTTGCGTAGGTTTCACAAGGTCGTCTGGGGCAAGTACGGCATGAGTAACGACACCAGGCCAAATGGCGTGATAGTCGGTGGGACAGACAACGGTATGATCCATCTCTACGATGCAGCCAAGCTGCTGGAGAACACAAACGCTTCCATAACACAGATCGAGAAGGTGAGGCCAAAATTCAACTTGTCATTTCCGATGGTCCAAATATGTTACAGTTTTTGCATATTTACCATTAAATGCACTAAAGTATAAACAGAGTGCACACAAAATAAAAAGTGATCCTTAAAAACCCTCCTATGCTGAAGTCACTCTTTGGGTCAC